TATACTGCCCGGATTGACTTTGATAAGAGTGTTATTTTGAGTTGATAGTCCCCACAGCTGATGGCTCACATCACGCGCCTCACACACGAGGGTGACGTCTTCGAGCAATATCTTGTAGACGAGCGCACCATCGTTCTAAGAGTTGTTCACGCCTGACCGTAGAATCGACCTGGCAAAGTTGAGTGGGAGGGGTCGTTATACTGGCCAAGGGAGGCTGTGTGATTTTGTTGAGAATATTGAGCCATCGGGTGTTCTTGTAGATAGTGATAGCGATGACAGTCGGACGTGGTGGAAGATTGCTGGATGACGGAAGGCGACAAGTGGCTCTTATTCTGTAGAGAAATGCTTGCTGATTCATTGCGTACCTGGAACGTCTCCACCGGCTCTCTGGGAGTGATTATCGCTCGTCCTGGATGAACAAGATTGAAAAGAGCTACGGCGATGAAGATCATTGAAGCGTCAAACACATAAATATATGTTTCAGTTGACTGCAAGGCGCCGTTGGATCCGGTGATGTACTCAACCATACGGAAAAGAGATCGGATCATGATCAGACCACTGTCGATGTACAGAACAAGGACAAATTGTTTCCAGGGAGAGATCGAACAAAGGCTTTGCTGGTCGGGTTTGCAGTAATTCGGCGATAGAAGATATGAAGAATGTTGATGAAGAATGCGAAGAAGTAGATTTGTACAGCAAGGCCAACGATGATGATGTTTTGCCCCATCTTCTGGTCACCCTTGGACTTGGCGTTGGCCAGCATACCTCCCCCTGTAGTCGTCAGAGGTTAGTCTCTCGGCCAATGCCAATGGACACGGTTCAAACATACCCGCAGACTGTGCCAGAAATGAAATGACATCACCGATAACAAAGGTCTTTGTCAAAAATTCAATCGGCACCAGTGAGTAAGAGTCGGCCTCGAGGGATTTGATGAGTCTTCCAAGCGACATGTAGATAGAAGCTGCCAACATCGTCGGACCGAGGAGTAGAAGGAGACTTTGGAGGACATAAGGCATAATAGCCCAGTCGGGAGTCTGCTTTGCAGATATTGCACGCCCGGCATAACCAATTGCCTCGACTGTTGAGGCTTGGTCAGTATGTTTTCGGAGGCAAGCGGTATCAGCCACTTACAGATGCATCCAATAAGAAACGGAACAAGATAGAAGGTTCTGTACCGAATAAGTTGAAAGAGATGGCAGATTGTCAAAGCACTAAAGAGAGCCAGGAAGATGGTTGCCGCGATAAAGGATGGGCCATAGTGGTAAAGCTTGAATTCTGACATGGTAGGAGAGTTGGACATGAAACGACTGAGCTTTGGTGTGGAAAACGAAAGACGAAAGGCGAGGGGGAAGTCTTTTTTTTCTAAGACAATAATACAAACGAGCGTCTGGAGCATAGATCTCGAAACGATTATACCCAAGAGTTCTCCAGAGGTATTAGAAGTATTTATCTGAAAGCAACAATTGTACTGGACATATAAAGGCAACAACGACGGGCCGGCATATCCGCTGATGTTTGGCTTGCTGATCGACCCGCCCGTATTATTTACGAGCGGGGCAGCTGTCAGTGCGGTATGTAGGTAGAACTGGATTAAAAATAGGATCTCTACTCCATACAGGCTAGCCTGCAATTCTTATACACGTATTCTAAAGCTTATATACAGTAATTCATCTGTGAGATGAAATGGTGTTAGGACACCTGCAACACCGCGAGAAGAGACCCCATATTGTTACCTAGAGCCGTTCACAAGCTGGAGACGGTCAAGAACATGTTTCCCCATACATAAAGCTCTCTTTAGCCGTGCGTCTCACTCAGCGGTGCATTTAGAATCGGGCCAAAGACGAGACCGGATAGAATGAAGGTAGTGGCGCTGGAGGACATTTCGTAAAACTCAGATATGATGCTTGGTAACCTGGGTGCAAGCACTGAAGAGCTAAAGTAGACTGTCATGGCGCGAGGAGAGATGCAGCAGGTAGATCGAGTAAGGCCTCCTGTTACAGCTATGAGGGCGAGCAGGCAGTATATGATTATTCAGTCGTAAAAGTACAGGCTACTTATATACCCGCCGAGAGCTAAAGTATACTTCTCGCTCTGCACAGGTTTCGTAAAATCAGGGAATTCTGAAATCATTAAAGCCAGACTGTTGAGTTGCCCTTCAGCTTTCTGTATGAAGAAAGTGTGCTACTAAAGTTTACGCGTATTTCAGCAATTGCCCCAAGCTCCTTTATTGTGCTATCTACAAGTGTTCCAATCAAGGACAGTTTTATATTTAGTTCCGGAGACAAGTCACAATCGATGACCACTTATTACCTAGTCATGTTGCTATTATTACACTATCGAGATCTTTATCTTCCCTAACTCTAACTCCTCTTCTCTCACCATCTCAAGCTCTCATCCGCATCCTCCGACGCGGCAAAGATACGCGTAACTAGGAACCAGCTACTTCCCTTCTGTTTCTCTGTCTTGTCATTCCTCTAACCCGCTCCCGCATACAGCATATCAGCCAATCGAGGCACTTACAGAGACCCCTTGACCCTTCTTTAGCGCTCTGCAGTCTGCACCAGGAATGCAACGCTGTAGGCATATCCGGGTAAGCTCACACCATGTGCTACATGACTCAATACTGTTAACGAGTCTTGGCAGTGCGACGAAGGCAAACCTACTTGTATAAACTGTATTACTTCAGAACTAAACTGCAAGTATCACAAGCGCAGGTCCCTGGTATAAACTATGTCTCATAATATTTTGTGCCCATACTATCAAGTCTATACCACAGTGGGCTCGCTTTCTCGCAGTTTATTCACAGGATCTGAACGATGCCATCTTGTCATCCTCGGAGTCGAACGCGACCTTGATGCAAGATGCAGAAAACTCATCAGCCACAAGCAGTCCAAGCATAAAAGAGGCACAGACAAACGACGTCAATATAAGCCATTTACTGCTTGTTCATTTTTCATCCGCCGTATACGCACTAAAGCCTGAAGAGGATCATTTATCTACAAAGTTAGTACTAGAGGCTGCTCCGAAAGAGAAGTATTTAATGCTCGAGGTCCTGGCAATCTCGGCTCGATACTTATCAACCATCCATACCGACGAGTCTGATCGCTATTTACGTCAGCCAGTGGAACTACAGACCAAGGCTGTCGAACTATTCAACAATGCAGACACTGCTACTCTTGATGAGGCTTCCCTAGCTAGGCTACTCTTCTCCTCCATACTACGCCGCCACATGTTGGTCGATGTGCTCGTCAGGCGAGATACAGATCTCGAGTCATTTGTCGATCGATTTACCGAAGGTGCACGAGTTAACCGAGCCGTCAGAGCTGTCACAACATCACAAGAGTGGGAGATAATATTGAAGTCAACGGTCGGCCCTCTCATCACGAAAGGCCTTGATCCTCTGGGTTTTCATAAGCCACCTCCGCTTCGCCCGCATTTTATGTCGCTGCTTTCGCGGGCGACACAGTTGGACGATAATGATAAGGAGGCATGCACCAAGGCTCTTTGCATGATATAAGGGGCTCTGGATGATCTACAGTATCCTGAAAGGAGCTCATTTGGCTTGCGCATGATATTCCTATGGCCGATTCTATCGCCAGAACACTTTATCGTCTTGCTGGTGAGGGGTATTCCGGAAGCTATTGCGATATTAGGCCGCTATTCTATTCTATTCCATGCTGGGAGTCACTATGGCAAGTGAAGGATATAGGACCGTATTTATTGAAACTGATGTCTTCGTTCCTTGGATCCGATTGGGACAAGTGGCTATGGGAGCAGGATCCGACACATCAGCGTACTCGTATTTGATGTTCCCCAATCTACAAGACTTGTATTGCATATATCTCGTTGTAAAATATCTATTACATGATCGCTATACAATTTGGAGGGCTTGCAATACCCCCAGGAATGTCAAGAGGAACACTTGTCATGAAGAATGACCAACGGCCTTGTTCATTGCACTTCTTTGCCAAAGCCTCGAGATCAAAACTTTCACCTATGGGCATACCCCAACCACTGAGAAAGACCTCGTGGAGAGCGACACCAGCTGGTCGTCGACTGGGCCACGCCTCGTAAGCCACAGTGTCACTTGCGACAGCAGCGAATCTGTTCTCCCAGTGCCATTGTATCATCTCATCTGAAGCCTGGACACCACAGGATGTGCGCACCTTGCGGCGAGGTAGTGCTGCTTGGCTCTCTTGACTTAGGCTCCGATATGCCTTGAGCCACCCTGTGCGGATGAAAAGAATATCTCCAGTGTGAAAAGAGACTGCTTGATGTTTCGCGACTTCTTGTAATTGTCTGAGAGTGATTTCGAAGGCGTCGAATGGAGACTGTGTATCGATACCTTTGTCTGCAGCGTATGAGGCCCAGTCGAGCAGGACTCCTCGTCCAACAATGCCTCGCCTTGCTACGTCTTCAATCGCGAAATGTTAGCATGGGACGTATTGCTGCAAATCAACTTGACTCTCACTTACTTTGTATACCAATTTTGGTGTTTGCGGCAACTCCCGAGATGTCATCTTGAGTTACTCCATTGTAGTACAATAGGCTGTCTTGGTATGGATAATGCCGTAAGCCATCCCAGTGGCTAGAGCCCTGGGTATTGATGTCGAGCTGATTGCCAGGTGTATCAATATTGAATGGATGAAACAGTCTCTGCGGCAAAGGGTGCTAACCTCATCGTCATTGGCATGACCCTTAGGAATGATTCTATGGCTGCACGGCTTTCTCACTGGATTCATGGGTTGCGAAAAGGCGTCGATGGATAAGCTACATTGTTAGAACCACCGTGTACAATATAAACAGAATAGGGTGGCCAAAACTTACCTTAGAGTAATCTGCTCACCAGTGATGATCTCATTCGCAGCAGCCTTGACAATGGCGGGCGTGAGTAGATTCAGCGTCCCCAACTCATCATTGGCGCCCCAGAGACCCCAAGCTGAGTATTTCGGGTCACAGCTTCGACAAGGCAACTCATTGAATGCAGGTCGCTTGGGTTCTGACTGAATACTGCCCATCTTGTTGTGAGACTTGTGATTGAGGTCAATGCCTTGGAGCATGGTATGCTCGCTAACTCAAGATATGCTCGCCAGCAACGGTTGACCTAACCTGTGCTACGGGATCTGGATACCGGTTCGGCATGTTTATCTAAACCCGACAGCCCCGCCTCGAACGTCGGCATGTTACCGAAAGCCTCTCGCGAGATCCCGGCACTACCCCAACTCGGTATGACTCGTTGGCCCCAATCACAGCAACGCAGGGAATGGAATCTGCACAGATGCACCGTGGCACGTAATTTACCCCAGATCTTACCCCAGCTTCCCCGGGGACGTCTCCAGCTCCATGAATCCTATTTAAAGAATGCCGTGACCATCAATTGCATCTCCAGGCCCAAGATCCCTTGAGAATCTGACCGCAACCGCTCAATAGAGTTTGGAAACTTAAAATACAACGTTAAGAACTTCTTCCACCTTGTTCATTGAGCCATGTCTCGAAGCGAAACTCAAGTTAAATCGACCGAAGAGCCTCAGCACCTTGAAGCCATGACCGTCTTGGACGAGAAGAAGATGGAAGCTGGCACTGAGGAAACACGCTGGACACCCGAGGAGGAGAAGAAGGCTCTTCGGAAGCTCGATTGGTGCTTGATTCCTCTGTGAGTAACTACTAACAAGCCGATTGACCTTCACCCCTAGAGTTGAACTAACAGGCTCTGATAGCGTTGGCTCGCTTTATCTTGTCTCTTACATTGATCGCGGTAACATTGGCAACGCATACACAGCCGGCATGGGCCAGACCTGGGGCATCACCTCGAATGACTACTCGTGGATCGTGACCGCTTACTACATTGCCTATATCTGTTTCCACTGGGTAACTCTCCATCACCACCAGCACGCGTCTTTTGTATTCCAACTTGCTAATCACTCCTCTGCAGCTCATTCTAGTTTGGAAGTTCATGCCACTACCGGTAATTACAACCCCCCGATGTCGAAGACGCACGAACGAATACTGATACCTATCACAATAGCTTTGGACGTTTTGCATGGCCTTTGGATGGGGCACAGCTAGTATTCTACAGGCAGCCACCCACAGCTTTGCCGGCATCATGGCTCTTCGAGTTCTGATAGGCGCCTTTGAAGCTGGCTTTGTCCCTGCCGTTGCGCTGTATCTGACGTTCTTCTATCACCGACGTGAGATGGGACTGCGGTATGGTTTGTTCATATCCTTCTCACCGCTTGCGAATTGCTTCGCCTCGGCCTTGGCGTATGGCATCGTTCAAGCAAAGACCAAGATCCACAATTGGCAACTCCTATTCATTGTTGGTAAGAAACGTTATCTTGAAGATCTCAGACCAACGCTAACATATCGTATAGAGGGCATTCCAACACTATTTCTAGCCTTTGTTGCCCTTTACTATCTACCTGCATCTCCTGCACAATGCCGATTCCTCACAGCTCGACAGAACGAAATCATCAGCCAGAGGGCCATAAAGGGTCGTGGAGAGGATACCGAGAGAAAGCTCAACTTTGCCCAAGTGTTTTCTGCGTTTTACGATTACAAGAACTACATGCAAGCCTTTATCATCTTTTGCCTCAACACAGCATTCGGTTCTCTTCCGGCTTATCTCCCTACCATCTTGAAGGACATGGGATACACTTCGGTCCACGCTCAGGGCCTGTCTGCCTGTCCCTACATTGCCGCCTTTGTTGTCTGCGTGGGCATGAGCATGCTGTCAGATCGCGTGGGCCAGCGCGGTGTCTTCGTCTTCGTCTTCTGCTGCGTCGGCGCGGTGGGATACATTCTCCTCGCCGTTATTCATACCACAGCTATCCGCTACTTTGCCACGTTCCTCGTCTGTGCCGGCGTTTTCCCTGCTGTCGCTCTGACCTTCACCTGGGTGACAGACAATCAAGGCTCCAGCTCCAAGCGAGGCGCTGGGCTTGCCATCTTCGGCATGTTTGGCCAGTGTGGTCCTATCCTTGGTGCTCGCCTGTTCCCCAAGTCGCAGGGGCCGTACTACTTCAAGGGCATGTGGGTTTGTGCGGGAGTACTTCTGGCTGCTTCTCTCATGGCCCTGGCTTTGAGCGCGTGCTTGCGCCTGCAGAACCGACACCGTGACCGCGTGCATGGTAAAAGTGATACCGACCATGTCCCTGCAGATATTGCTGAGAAAGGAGACTCCCATCCCTTGTACCGATACGTCCCTTGAGGGCTATTTGATCGGATTTAGGTGAAGGCTACTGGTTGGGTCTTTATTGGTGGTGTCGATATACACTTCTGTACAGGCTGTGTGGTTCAAGGGAGGTGGCTGGTCTGGTTCAAGTCATGCCATCGGGGCAGAGTTGTGTATTCCGAGTGACAGCTGATGCTTGCATCACGCCCCTTACTCATGTACCTAGACTAGGATAGGGGCATCAAATTTATCTGGCACGCAGGGGTCAATTCAGGCGGAGGCAAAAGTATCTTATTGAAACACTTGATCAGTCTGTTCTGGTGCTCCATACACCTGTGAATTGCCAAATATTTCCGTCATGTCCCAGGGAAATGAATCGGGGTGAAACCCGGCTCCGGTATCAAGCATCCCGAAGCTAAATGGACTCTGATATCTCGACAAAAAGCCAGACGCCCCTTCATTGTTAGCCTGCGGTCCACCATTTCCAATATCAGAGGCTGCTGGATGTGGAGATGCTCGAGGCTCTTCCGTCCTGCTCAACTCAAGTCGCTGTGCATCACCAGCCCGGTTCGCGGCAGAACCTCCACGAGGCTCCTGTTGACTCGATACCTGAGGGGCGCTCCCTTCCCACACTGTTAGCTGCCGCCTGATGGTATCCAAACTCCGGCCACTCCCAGGCGTATGTTTAGCTTCTTCTTGAAGCGTGCGGACAGCCATGCCGAGTCGCCGCGCGGCATCAATCCGAACCCCAGCTTCAGACCGCCTCATGTCAAGAACATCGACAGTAGCCGCAGTATATACGCAATAGCTTACTTGGTATGTCATCAGACGGTGAGGAAAGCTTTTGGTGTACAGATCGTGGATCGCGTGTATCCTTTTAGAGTGGTTGACGCATGTTTGGAGGGATGAGTTGCGGATTGAGGGATCGGGGGAATGCAGGAGCGGCCGGAGGAGAAGAATATGGAGAGCGTGGTATAAAAAGCTTGAGTAATCCTCGTTAGCTGGGTCTATTCAAAGGACTTTTAGCACTAACTTCAAAGAAGCGATATGGGGAGGTGGACACTGAGTCATTCCCTCATCAATCTTGAGTGACTGAGGTAGTTCGTTGTACCACGCTGTTAGCCTGTTGGAAACATGGTCGATCTCGGGATAGATGTTTTCTGAGTGACCACGATCAAAGAGAAGCAGCATCATATCGGTTGTTATCTGGTCAGTATTAGTACATTCCCTGCTATTGGGCTTTGTGCTATACAGACTATATGAAGTTGACAAAAGGCACAAAACGTTGCCGTATTATACATTGGTGTCGGCTTATAGGAGGAATTTGTAATATCGATATCGCTGGGCCGCCAGTCTCGATCGTTATCGTAGTGGTCAACTTTTTATATCAGTGTTGATCCCAAAGGCTGTAACTGCAGGCAACTGTTGATCTACCAAACAGAAACTTACAGATCTCGTCCGGTCCATATGGGGAACCAGTCAATGATGGCGGCCGTCCAAGGGCAAGGCTCAGCGTTTTATCCCATATAAAAGCCGAGTTGTATAAACGTTTTCGTGTCTCGATTTCGGATGGTGTTAACCTCTCAAGTTCGGCGATTCGATTCGCATTTAGGTGTATTCCAATGTCAACCATCATTCTGATTGCCTGTGTGTGTGACAAAAGGCAATGATTAGCCATGTTGAACAGTGGGCATACCCGCGATCATTGAATGGACTTACCATGCCGGTGAACAGCCATCCCTGTGAGCTTTTGCCAATGGCGCATTGGCGTCCTCCGAGAATAAGAAGCCCTTGAATAGTAGGAATTCGTGGCTTGGGATTATCCAGCTCATCCATAAGTAGCATCTTGGCGCGTGTGAAGAACCTTTCACCCATGTTGGAGTCAACCGAGTCGCCCTCTTGTCGGCTGAGATGACGGGCAGTTAAAGCAAATATTGCCATGAGTAGAAAGTCGGAATAGTACGTCCCGTTTAACGCCATGTCCATTAGGAAAACTACAGTCACGTTGGTGTTACTACCCATATCTATAACTCGACCAAAGCATGTAATCCAAGACAAGCTACTTACCTGGCCGATAGATGCAGTTATGCAATGGATGAAGCCAAGTCCAGTACATATCAAGGATCTGCCATCCCATTTCATTCGTGATGCCAAACGCCGCCATGGACTTGGACTTGGCTAAGGGAATCCATACTGTGTCGAGCAAGTCATACTGGGATCGCAGACGCTCAACGTGAGATGATTTGATTTCTACGTCCTGGGTTGAACTGGGAGGGGCTTGCGTGGTAGATGGCGATGGGCCATTTCCTGTCAAAGATCCAGCGTGGAAGCGACTGGTAGGGCCGTTGTAGGTGATTGCGCCATCTTCTCCGATGCCGACCTGCGACCAAATCGTGGCGTCGATGGTGTTTGAGCGAGCATCGCTCGGTGATGCATGCGTAGAGCCGAGTTGCCCGAGCAACGGTATGGATCCAGCCGGAGAGATATTATCTTGGCCCGCATTCGTGACATCAGCAGTTGTGAGATTACCGCTCTCACTGCTCAACCGTTCATTCTGTCTTCGGCTTTCCTGCAGAGCGGACTCGAGTTCTTGAATCCGCGTGTTTGCTCTGTCAATCCTGACCTGGGTATTGGCAGGCCATATGCAAGGACTATCAGACCGCTGACAGGCCCTGCAGATGGGTTGTTCTCCAGTACATTTAATCTTGCGTGCTTTGCAACTCTGAAACGCGTGCGACTGTTAGCTCGTGTTTCACGCGTCCTCCTTGACTACTGAGAGCTGAGCAACAAGCAGGACTCACTTGGCAAGCACTTTTTAGTTTGGTAAGAGAATTAGTCAGTCTTGCGGGTGTACTGCGGCATCTTGCCGACTCGTTTCTTATCTGATAGGGATCTACTCACAATCCATAACGACGAGAATCACGCTGATTGGGGTTCCGGGAATGCTGATGCTGATCCAACCGGCGACGTCTTCGGGATGACGTTGAAGAATGTGTTGGGCTTGCTATGCTAGACATGTCGGGATTGACGACGATTCCTTCTGTCTCGTCACGATTAAGCTGGCTCCGAGTCATTCTTTGAAAAGGTAGAGCAAGGCAATTCGTCTCTCATCTGCTAATGCCGAGAGAGATTCCGATTTATTGTCCCGTGACTGTTCTCGAGTTCCAGACGCAGGACACTAACTACCTTAGCCTGGAAACGCAGTGCGGGGTTCGGTAAGATGCCGACGCATCACTATCAATATGGTCCAGGGTAGGTTTGTGAGGAGCGGAAATGATGACGATATCCAATTTCATTCTACTGTGTACATACCCAAATGACCAATTGCTAAGAGCGATACTGCGATAGCAGTCTATGTTACAACCATCGAGCTTCGTCGCTTCCTAGTGGCTTCGGCATCACGTCCCAAAAAGGCTCAGCACCATCCACACTTACGCTGTGCCGAACGGCCCTCATTTCGCCAAATCCCGTTTGACGGGTTTCCAAATACTCCTCCACATCAGAAGGCTTCTCATAATCTCCAACCTGGAACCCGATATTGCCGGGATATTGGCCCATGCTGCGGAGATATTTCATGGTTCCAGCCAGTGACACGTCAACGCGGTAGGACCCTCCTTCGACAGATCGTCGATATAAAGCTGCCATGATACCAGAAGCCAGTAAATAACCACCGGCGTGGTCCAATGCTTGACACGGTGTCGGGCGAGCTACTTCGCCGGCGCCGTAATGCTCGGCCTCTGAAACGTTCATACCTGAGCATGTCTGGATAAGTGAATCGTAGCCGCGTCTCTCAGACCAAGGTCCCTTGGGACCAAACGCAGACATACAACCATAGACGATGCCTGGGTTAAGACATGCAATCTCCTCCGGACCGAATCCCTTAGCGGCAAGACTTCCGGGACGGAAGCCTTGGATAAATACATCACATGACTGAATAAGCTCTCTCAAGGTTTGACGATCCTCGACGTTGTTGACGTCCATGTGAACGGTGCGCTTCCCTCGGCCGAGATCGCGGTCCATCGTAGGTAGGTCAGGGAGTCCAGGACATGTTACCCAGACGACATCAGCGCCGTGGGCAGCCAAGGTCTTGCCGGCCAAGGGTGCAGCAATGACTCGGCTCATCTCGACGACTCGTAGACCTCGAAGACACTTGTCGTTGCCTGGTGTAAGACGAGGAGATAGTCCAGCCGGGCCTGACCCAATTTTCGTTAGAGAAATGGGGAATTCGTCAATTGCCTTGGATTGAGGCAACTTGTCCCATTGGCGATATGAGCGCAAGGCATAAATCGCCAAGCGATGGTCTAAACCGACAGACTCGAGATCGATGCTCGCCCAGTCCTGTGTCTTCTTGGTTACATCGATGCGGCTTGCTGTTACTGGAAGACCCAATAGCTCCAGAGCTCCGTCTCTATGGTTAGGAAACGAGTCGTGGATACGGACGTGTCCATCCGAAGTCTTGTGTAGGCCCCCGATGGGTCCCCATGGCGAAGGAGCAGGCTCTCCGTTGAGCACGTAAAGCCGCTCAGACTTGAATTCAATGACAGAGTGCTTCTGAGGCACGGTTACCATTGGCACAGGACCTTGGTTTCGTATGGAATGGATGAGAGCGGCCAGGAGCCCAGACAGAGCTATGGTGCCTTGTGCCAGGGTTCCAATTTTGTAGGAGGAAGGGAGTGCTGGCTTGCCATCGTCACCTGGAAGTATCAGGGACTTCAGGGCGTCTGAAGGAATGGAAAGACCACTCCAGATCTCGTTTACGACATCGCGAGAGAGGAAGCTGGATCGATCGAAGCTAGAATTGACTGTTGAGTTCAGGTCTGGTTGGGGGACATGCGTCAGACCATTGGCGCCCTTGATCTCCCTGACACTGTCTATGCCATTGACACCATTCACGTGGGACGCGCCACTGTGAGTGCCATTGATAACAGCCCCTGTTGTGCTGGCCTCAGGGACCTCGATTCCCAAAAGCGGCGCGTGCTGTTGTGTTCCCAGAGTATCTCTCTCACCGACACTGCCTTGGGCCCAAGGTCTCTTGATGGTACACTTCCAGGCAAGAGCAGGTTCAAAAAACATGTTTGTCAAGATCTCGCTGTCTTTTACGTGGTACAGAGACCGGATCACCTCGTTCGTGAGGACGTTGGAATCCATGACCCTCCTGTAGACAGCCTCGTCGTCGAACATGATATCGAACGTCATCTCGAATGGGCCTGAGTTCTTGGAGCGGATGATGCGAGCGAGCTCTTGCATCTTTGCTTTTGTAGATGGAACTTGCTTCTTCTCTTCAAAAAGACTGTCAGCGTGTCTCATGCGAGGTTCAGAGCATACATACCTATGGGCGCAAGAGGACCGTTCTCCAGAGCCTCCCAGCGCTCTCGAGAAACCGAAACCACGGGTGCTGGACTGGCAGTGGAGTTTACATCCCGGAACGTAACGGGAAAAAGCGAAGATGACTCGCCTTCTTCAAGGTCGACGAGGTGGTACACGCTGAACTTGAAAACAGCACCAGCATCTTGCTCGTGAGGTGACAATGGGCTAGCGAAATTACCGGTTGTGGCAATCTGTCCAGGATATGAGAAGTGGAGGATAGAAGCCCGTGCATTGTTTGCAATGGTATAAGCCATGTCCTGCGTAGGAGCGACGACTTCGCCGAGAACTGCGATCTCGTGAGGGTTGCTGACGACCTGTGTCTCCAATGGGCCCATGACACCATTCTTGCCGTAGATGTGATAGATAAGGCGACAGCTGTCTGACTGGTCCAACTCGGGAAATAAACCTTGGGTGTACTTTCGCACGCGCTCGAGGAAATCATCGATCTGGCTGATAAGAATTGGATCTCTGATGCCACCGATGAAGATAGTCCGATAACCCAGGAAGGTAACGCCCTCGAGCTTCACCTGGTATGGTGTCTCCAAGAACTGAGCACCAGATACACGTGTCGTCTTGTCAGTTATCTGCTCATACTTTGCATTGTCGAGGCTGAGAACACCACCTGGGCCCGGCAGGCGGTCTGGTCGTGTCTTTTCGTACAAGGTGTGTGCTGCGACAGAAAGAGGCGTGCATCTCTCCTCAGGCGCTAGTGGAGTCAAGTCGAAAGAATCGTAGCGCATGGTGGCTATCATGGAGCGACCTTTTGGGACGGCGCAGATGCCACCGCACTCCATGATCTTGCCCATGTGCCAAGCAACACCATTAGATATGCCCTTTGAGAGACAAAACGCAGCAAAAGGTGCAGGGTCATAGCATCTTCCACCGAGAATTATGTCGGGGTTGCCTTTCAAGGCTTCGAGGAATCTGATAGACTGATCTCAGCATATGCTTTGTCCAGCCAGGGAGGTTGGTTGACTTACGGCTCAGCACCGACCTGTGCAACGATATCAACAGCATCATCAACAACGTCTGGAAGTAGCTCTTCCACAGGCCCACACGGACTGACTCTGTGACTTTGGATTCTGGCCTTAACCAAGTTCCGGTCCATACCAGCATTGATAGTGGCGACCTTGAAGCTGAATCCAAGACGTTCCGAAACCGAGGACACAATGTCGAACATTTCCTGGACATGTTTGTTGCTGCCGTCTCCACCTACAGATCCAATCAAGACCTTGATCTTATGGTGGAAGCAGGCAGTCAGGATAGGCTCTAGGTCACGGATATAAGAGCCCCGTCCACAAGTCATCTTATTCATTCCGAGCTTGTAAGGGCCGCCGTCTGTTGACCCACTGTCGACGATGATGGCTGCAGGCTTGAACTTTTGTATGCCATACCAGAAGTGCTCGACGTTGTAGCCATAGCCAAGCATGGCATTAGGCGTAAGGATGCTGAACTCTGGGACCTCCATATTGACGTCGAAATAATGGACTTGGGTCACAATAAAGCGGTGGCTAAAAGTTCAATATGTTTCGATACGCAATCAGGTTTGGCGATATGCGATATATTTGAAGGCTATAGAGTAAGATTTGAGGTTTGCTCCACGGTATCATTGCGGAGGTATTTGGCGAGCGGAGCGAATGCCGACGGCAAAACAGGTGGTCGGTATGTTCGGAGTCAGCCCGAGACTACTTCGCCGTCTCGAATACGGAGACACCCCGCTAGAAACAAGCCACGATTTTAATATTAGGCCAATCGCACATGTATGGCAATGACTGATTAGCAACTGTACAGAGACAATATTATACCCGGTAGTTAGGCGGTTTCACTATAGTACAAGTTTATGCTAGGTTAGAGGACTCTCGTATCAAGGGCCTGGAATAGTCTTTTAAGAGATATAAAGAAAGTTAAACTTTAATATTTCTTTATTATAGGTAACCTTATACCTAATGAAATAAGCAAGTAATAAGTTTTAATTATTAAAATATATAATAATTTTATATTTACAAAACTATACTTACTTACTAGCACTACCTATTTCTATCTTAATATACTTATCTTGCTGTCTCTATGCTGGCCGCTTTGACTTTGCTTCCCTCAGAGATTCCCTAATAGCCACAAGTCTCGCCTGCGATCGCGGAACCATGTCAAAGTCAAAGTGTTCCGGCTGGGTGTTGAACCCCTTGGCATAGTCATAAAGCGGCACCGGCAGCTCCATCCCGTTCGCATCTCTCTTCTTGACAACGCTACCAGCCCAGGCGACCCGAGCCGTCAAGATGTGCAGAGACCGCTCGGCAATGTTCTGGCCTGGGCAGATACGTCGTCCGAATCCGAAACAGCTGTAATTCTGCAGGTTGGGGAACTTGGACAGCGGTTCTCTGTAGGTTGGGAACTTTGGGTCTAGCCATCTGTCCGGTCTGAAGCTGTCTGGGTCAGGGTACAAGGTTGGGTCTCGGTGGATTGCCCTACATCACGATGTAATTAGCATGCTTGCTTGGTTCAAGTAGCCATGTTGTGTCGTGATATGTACATACCATTGATTGGGATGGAATATCGTCCCCTTTTTGAAGGCAAACCCCTCGTACTCGTCGTCCTTGGTTAGCTGGTGAGGAAACCCACCTGCAGTGACAGGGCGCCACCGCAGTACCTCCTTAATTACGGCACGCACCGTTGGGAGCTTTGGAATATCCTCGAACTCGGGCATACGATCGCCCACCTGCTCATCGAGTTCATCCTGCATCTTCCTCTGCCACTCTGGGTAGTGACACATGGCGAGACAGTACGACATCATAGCCGCCGCCGTAGTGCCGCTTCCAGCCTCGAACAAAGTACCAATCACATAGGCCCCCTCGTCATCTGAAAGCTGGAAGCTGTCCCTGTTCTCAAGGAATGTGCGTGTGAAAGACTGAGTGTCGAAGCCCTTCTCCAATGCGTGACGCACATCAGACTGAAGTTCTCTAAAAAGGCTTAGTTCCTCCTCATGTAGCTTCCGCCCCTCTTTCTTGAATGGGGCCATTGCTTCTGGTAAATTGTTGAGGAATGGCATCGAATCGACCAAGTAGGCTCCAGGTGATGCGACTCGCTCCACATTATGGACAACTTGAATAATTCGCTTAACAGCAGCCTCATCGCCCGTCTCTATCCACTTGCCGAACCCAATCCGGAAAACAACTCCTGAAGCGTACAGCTCGAACCATTTTTCATAGTTCGAGGGTATCTCGAGCAAGGACACCAGCAGCTTCTTGGACTCGTAGTCTTGGACAGGCTGGTATGAGTCTGCCGCCGCTGGCATGGTCAACTGATGCATCAACTTCCGGCCTCGACGCCATCGATCTGCAGTTCAAGCTCGACGTTAGCGGAGATTCTCTTATTCTCTTACTAGCTGTTGAACCTTACCATTGTATGGAAGAAGCAATGGCCTCATGTCGCCGGAGACAATTCCAGATGCCATGGGGAGAAACTCGCGAGATGAATAATAACTGCCTCGCTCGCGCAGGAGATCGTTGGCAATCTTCTCGGTCGACAAGACGATATGCTGTCGCCCCATGAGATTGAGACGGAAGATGGGGCCGTACGTGTCGGCCCATTCTTTGAACTTGAGCCAAGAGTGGTATGGGGGGATCTCGAAGAGGTTTCCGACAAACGGTTTACCTTGAGCGCCACGGTTAGTCAAACTAGACAAGACCGAGTGCAGTGCAGGCGAGAGCGTCGGGAATTATCGTGTTGTGCACTTGGCATACCTGGTGGGCCGGGCAAAGGCTTCCCGCCGGCTTTGGCGTTGGATGACGAAACTAACAACCAACGTGCCAGCCAAATGATGGCTACAATGGCTGCTGACCACACGAGAAGCATTTTCTTTCTCTTTCTGCTGCGGATAAGTGTTTTTGGGTGGATAATAGTAGATGGCAAACGAGCGAGCAGATATTACAAACAGGTGCAGGACACAGGTCACTTAAGCATAGGTACTTAGTCAGAGCGCCGATCAGAAACCCCTCTTATAACTGACCTAGATGCCGGAAGAACGCATGTTATCTCGGAAAACCTCGAGCTAAAGTCCAAATCATCCGCTCTTCCGTCTTCCGGGATATGTGCATCCTTTGATCTGGCGTGCGGGGGAACTTGACTCGGCCAAACGTCAACTGCATCCCCATACCCCGCGAAAGTCGGCAGCCTCGGTTAGTGGGCACGGTCAAATACGACGCTGACATGTATAGCATTGACTGCTATTAGCAACGATACAGAAACAAGATTAAACCTGGTAGAAGCAGGCACATCTTTAATTAAAGGACGGAAAGGTTGGAATAAATTTGTATATTATGTTTAAGAGTACAAGCTCCGCTATGTGGCGGAGTGACTAGACTCCAGTATTAAGGTATCTATAAACGAAGCCATCGTCGTGATATTGGTATCCGCGTGGCCAAAACTATGCAGCCACCGAGACTCAACAGAAACCTCTGTTGTTCCCCTCCCTGACGGCTGTAGTTCAATGCCCTGTACTACTGGTATTTCATTCTTCTTGTTATGTCGCTGATGTACCTTTGGCGGCTCAGTTACTGTGTCATGGCTCCACGATAGTTCCAAGTTATCCTTCGACTCAGACTTCTTCTGTTCAACTTGAACGGTGACCTCCTGGAATACAACGATACCACCGTTTAAGAACGATTGTTGATGTGAGGTATAATGACGTTCGGGAGGGTAGACGTCCACTGTGTCTGTTGATGGAAGGCGCTCGTTGTGAGCTTCGCTGCTCTTAGCGGGACATAGGTTTATCGTTGATGATGAGCGTGTAGAGTCTTTTGATGAGGCTCTTAGTCTCATTATTGGAACGCGAGGCTTTTTGCCTTTTGAGTTGATTGATCCTTCGGAACGCTTTAGCCGGCGGAGCGTCGATAAAGGTCCAGAAGTGAGCTCGTTGTTAGCCCGACTTGCGGGCATTGTAGATGGATCAAAGTCCTGGTGTAAAACTCGTACAAACTCCTGTCGCGATTGTTCCAAGACTTGTCGCATACCGAAGAAGTTAAGAGGGACCCATTGGCAGTTGGGACCAGATGAGAAGACGGGGTGAGATATCTTGAGCCTCAATGCCATGATGACCGTCTCTTCAGCGTCACCTCCGTCGACTCCATAGGGAAGTCGTAGTATAGTCGGACTAAGCACAGCATTATGGAATAAAGGTTCCTGTGCCAATTCATGTAATGAGTGAATGGCATTGGAAAGATAGTGGGCAAACAGTTCTTCATCAGGAGACCTCGAAGACGCTCCCGATGTCCTCAGCCTTTGAATTACCTCAGGAACTTGAAACCCACTAAGCCCTTGTACCATTCGCACTTGTGTCTCATCGATGGTGCTTAGTGGCAGAGGTACCAAGGGGAGTAAATCGCGAGCATCCTTTTGTACCAGAACGTGATGATTATTAAGTCTTCGATCCTGAATGGCGAAAAGACCAAGGTGAACTCCGGGCTTGATACGATTTTGCTGTGATATAAAAGCCTTCATGTCGCGTAACTTGTGTTCGAACTCGCTGGACTGGATCTGCATCTGCAAATGGTTTCTCGCATCGTTGCACACTTGAACCGGATCGACGAATCGATAACCAGCTGTCTCAAGTCGTTTCACCTCGTCATCTGATGTAAGACGACGGACCAAGAACATGAGCGCTCCTCGACCGTCGATTTCGTTCTCAAGCTCAATCCCAACACCCTTCTCAAGGTGACTCTCCCCCGTCGTCGTCGATCCCTTGCGTAGTATCTTGCTCGTATCGGAAATGTGATTGTCGCGATGTTTCTCCAGTGCTTGTAGGTAAGCGGGGTTCGCGACCGATCGTTTGGGTATGATTTCGTCCCATAGAATACCCATCGTTGTGATGGATTCGTCAAGTTGATCGCTGAGCTTGGAGGCGGCGACGCAGAATAGCTCGCGGAAGATGACTGAATATCCGTTAATGAGCTCTCCGTCGTCGTCTATGAGCTGAATCCCCTTCGTCGGATCTTTATGCTGGCTTTTGTGCGGTAGCTGTCGGAGATGCTGCTTCATGCCATTTATTAAACCCGATATTCCAGTCCAATTCCGCGAAGCCTGAAACATCCAGTGGAATTGCGGATGGGCAGTGTTGAATTTGTCGTCGGTGTTCTATGAAAGAAAGACTAGGCGTCAGTAGCTGAGAAGATATCTTGAAGACGCATAATCGCCTCACCTCTCCAATGAAGAAATCGGTGACAACAGTGTTTGGAAAGACGCCGTTGCTATCGACGAGAAGACATCCGTCTTTGTTGAAGACAATAGCCGCTAGTTCGATCTGCTGAGCACGCAGGGCTGCACCTCTTAGAGTGCGGGCTCGTAGGATAGCCGATCCAGCAATGATGATGCAGGCACTGAAAGACTATCAAAGGTCAGTAAGTCGGCCCGGCTGTGAGGTGGCATCTGGTGTTGCGCCGATGAACAAGGCGCTTGAGACCTACTAAGCAAATAACTGCCACCGCGGTCGCAGTACGGTCCCCTCGTTCCAGTTTCCTCAGATGAAGCAGTCTGTACTGAGTACCAACAGAAGCGCACCAGTGCATACTTGATACCGCTCCAGCGAGGATGATAGCAGAGATAGTTCGCTTCCACCAACTACTCGCCGAGAGCGACTGAAAGATAAAGAACATTGCCAGCGCAACAGTACTCGCAGCGACGGCAATAATAGCAGCACCAACGATATATGCCGGTTCATAGATGCACTGATAGTTCTTGATGGAAGCGTTGGCCAAGTAGTGCATACCGCAGATGGCACAGCCGCAAAGAACGCCCGCTGTTATCACTCTCCACCAGACGATTCGATTCGAGATACCTATCGCGTAAAATGCGCCGAGGAGAACAAGAACAGGCATGCAGAAGGAGAGCACTGTCATGCCACTCGAGTACACAATCTGCATCTCTGCCTCGCCCTCAGCAAGAGTGAGTGCGATGTTGCCGATAAAGTGCTGCACCACAAGCAATATTAATTAATAGTGTATACGACGAGATAAACTGAAACTTACCATGCACCAAATGGCAATACCGCCCATGGTGATTGCGGATGAACATAGTATCAGACTAATGCATCTGTATTAGCAAACCCTCTTGACAGTGTTTCTCGCTTGGCGATGGTAACATACTGATTCGAAATGCCGTTAAACCATGATCTCCGATTGATCAATTCAAGCGTCGAAGCAGCCCCCACCAAACTGATGAGGTAGCTGAGCGCGAGGTAACCCGCATTGTAGGCCTTTGGCACAATATGGCCCTGATATTGCTCGAGAAGGCCCTCGACAGTCATTTTTCGCTTATCGCAACTGCGCAGTCAGACATGAAGTAAAAGGGTTCAAGTGAAGAAGAATGGATTACATGGCAGACTTTTTGCGGAATCAAGGGACGGGAGCCAGGGAATTACAGATCGACAGATCTTAATACTCGAAGCGTCGAGGCACAAGGGCGGTCGCATCGGGCGTTTCATAAACGGACGCGTTAGTCCCCCAAGGGAATTTAAACTTTGCAGAGAGTCATGGGCTTGCAGATAGCATGAAAGCATAATTAGGAGGGGGGGCCCATACATTCCGGAGAGGCGAGCCAATGCTTGTGAGGAGGGGGCTTGAAACCCGGCATTTGGGCGTTTGCTTCCTATTGCTTGGTGGGATGGATGGGGTAGTGCTGACGGGGACAAGGATCTACTCGGGGTACTCATCCCGTCTGCAAAGTTGACTCGGCGGGCTTGGTTCATCCCACTCTGAAAGTGATATAATTTCAACCCTTGCTCAAACCGTAAAGCGCACGGGCAGGCGCTGGAAAAAGCAACAGCGGGATCCAATGTTAGCCTCACTTGTTGATTACCTAGTGCTGACTAGGTCCGGGAGCAGGCGCACTAAAATATAGCGCATTTACGCTGTTCTTATCTCTGCGATGCAGATGAACGGAATGTAGATACTGGGGAAGCGCGCCTTGATAAAACATGTCGCGTGTGAACAATTGAAGAAACAGTGCCTGTAACACTAGATCGCATCAAACCACGAGGGCCAGATCTTCAATGCATGCCGTCAGTTCCGTCCAGGCCTTTGGGACAGGCTTAGCGCGGCAGAAGAGATGATGTACCTATATCACCTCCAGGGGTCTCTGCCTATAGACCGGGTCGAGAACGGCTTTAGGAAAACCTCGGATTTAGCAGCCTGGGTTTGTTGAGATAACGACAGAAAGCTCTATCTTATGGCGTAGAGTACATTCGTCAAAGCTAATACTCTGTGGCTAATGTCTAGAGATGGACGGATTTGTTATAGGGCTTAGGTTGTAGATCTGGCGGCCGCCATTGTAAAAGACATTCCTACCGCATTCAGAACACACAGACCCTTGGCCCAGACAGCCACTGACCAGCCCTGCAGCTCCAGGCCTAGGCTGGCGCACTATGGAATTAGTGCCCTCGGGGAACAGGCGGGGATCAGCCCGGGGCCATTCCAGCGCGCCCAGATCTTTGAGTTGAGGCGGCGCACTAAAACGGCCACTGGTCGGTCGAATTGTGTCACGCTGCAGGGTGATTAATGCGATCCTGATTCATGAGTGCAGAGTCAAGAGAGCTTTCTGATACATAAAACTTGAGATGTAGGCTGTTTGGTTCATAATGTTGCGATTGGTTCGGCGAACAGCGCATTGTCATTAGCTCAATGGCGATCGAAACTTGCGCAGTGCCTTGTATTATACGGAGTCCCGTTGCTAAGATATATTTTATTGCATGAGTTGCTGGGTGATCTTATCTATTTCTTTCCTTGTACCCCGATGCTAGTGCTAATTGAGGTTCCATCTGATTGCTAAGCCAATAGCTTCCAGTCCATGACATGTCTGTCCCCCAAAACTCAACTCCAGTCGCGGCGCACTGTAACTTTGCTTATCCTATGTTCATGTCAAGTCGTTTCGAAATCTCGGAACCCCCTTAGAAGCTCGAGTGGTAAATGTAAGTAGTCCGTGCATCTCGTAACTGCTTTCCAGCATCTGTGCAGAGTCCGCACGTGTCGGAACGGAGAGCCGGAGCCGGAGATACGGCGCACAGACAGCGGACTGCGGCGAATGGGGATGGAAACTTGGGCCTTCCATGCGTATATGGCGATATCCCACTTGCTCTGCTTTACGAATTGCCGTGAAAGGAGCTTGTCCGCCGCTACGTATGGTAAAAGAGGCCAAAGCCACAAGCACAATATGAGTAAGCCGACGTTGTGCTGTCCTGTGTAAAATGTACAAAGATATTGCTATTCTGATTTCCGAAGGACAGCATAAGCCAACCTCTGCGGCCAACATGTCGAGTTGTGTTATACAGAGCCTCAGTTTTTTGTTACATATTTCTATTTGCTTCCTCTAGTGTCAGAAAGTAACAACATGATCCTCAAAGCATGCTTGCAGCAACCCGCAATACCTAGTATGTCGATTGAGCGACTGGTGTGCGCATTTTCCTTCCTCAACTATCAGTCGAACTCAGAACAATACTGTCGCGGTGAGCGCGTTGCTCACGGCCACTGTATACTCTCTCGTCACAGCATGACCTTGAAGGCGCCAATGTTGAAACCATATCAACTGCGCTGCGCACGAAAGCGATTCTGTCTAGGACTTGGTTTTCTTGAGGATGTCAGGAACAAATGCGCGCAAGCAACCAATTACCAAGTCTTCATGAGCGCTGGTATCTAAATAGGTCGATGGATCGCGACTTGAACATTGTTCATGTTGGCTAGAGAAAAATCCGTGAATAATTCTGCAATTTCCTTAGACTCTAGGGTATCTAACCAAGTAGTGTTGATGGGGGCTATAAATAGCATGAGGCGCTGTCGCGGGGCTCTGCATTGGCAGGCAAATGCAAGACTGAAGATCAGGCAGACTTTGCATAACTCTTGTTGCACAGCCAATAGAAATGTTCCAAAATTATTAACGCCCTGCGATCGTGTGCTTTATGCGCTTAGTCAGTTACTGTCTTAGCCTAATTAGGCCAGCTTAGTGGTGCATAAAATCGCTGTGCATGGTAGTGCTTACGCTGCTGCCTTAAAGGATTCTGATCGGTGACAGAATCACTGCCTAGAAGACGCCGATCAATCGACTTGCCTTGTGTTTGAGAATACCGAGCGGATGTGGTGGAAGGTGACACGCAGGCCGTAGCCATTATTCCTCCGAGATGATACATATCATCAAGGCAGTGCATCTCTAAGTCTGTCCGAGACTCTAGGTATAAGTATTCGATTCTCCCTCTAATGCTGATATTATTGCATCTCATCGCAACATACAACTATTACACCGCAGAATCAAAATACAGCCCAAAATGACAGCCATCAACTCAGCCGCAGTCTTCCATCCCACCAGGGACTTCCTCCTCTTCTCAGCAGCCGTCGGTCTTCCCCTCAACTTCGTCCGCTTCTGCATCATGGTCCGACCCGTCGCATTCTTCACCTTCATCCTCCTCATCTTCTCCGCCATCTTCGGCTTCACCATGAAACGCCTCCATCGTCAAGGCGCACATCTCAAAGCGACTTTCGCCACGCCTATCACCGACCCGTTAAACTGTCTCGTCGCCGATTTGTTGATGGGCATTTTGTCACTCTTGACGCTTAGTTTCACCTGGACGCATAACCGGTGGCAGGACACTGGAGAGACTTTTCTGGTGGCTTACTCCTCGACACCATTGATGTTCAACATGTTTCTGCATTTTTATCTGGCGCTGCTTGTGCTGTTTAGGACAAGTCAGATGAAGGATATTGTGAAGGAGCTCGTTGGGGATTTTGTGTCGAGCTCGCCTCAGCCTTGCCCGCATTGTCATGGGCGACCGGAATTTCACGATGAGCATGATGAAGAGCAGGCTTTGGTCACTCCTCCTGCTGGTGATCATGAGGATACACATGAGGGCGGGGCTGGTCCTTCGACTGTCTGGAGCCGATGAACACCGCGTGTCTCACGACGTCAACTTCTTTCCTTAAGATTACTCTCTATTATATCAAGTTTGCATCTTGCTCGGACAATCTCTTACTTTAGCTGGCGCGGATGGCCTGGAGACTGGATCAGTCGTGTCATGACTGTTATATAGCCTCATAGACAAATACCAACAGTCATTAGTCTATTTAGTCGCTCTCCTCCAATAAACAAAACTATTGACGCTCCCGTATTTTGTCTCGCTGCTGCTCAATTCTAGACGCCCCAAGTCACAACAACACGAATCCTGCTTTTGCTTCATGACTAATTTGATGGCAGTTGCGCAGCGGTTGTAACCCATCCATAGATCGACCAATTCTTCTCCTCATTTCTCCATTCCTTAACCCACGTGTACCCAGACTTTTCCAAGACACGCTTACTTGCCCCATTCTCTTTGATCGTCTCCGCAGCGCATCGTTCCGTAATAGTTCCATTCACGCTGGCCACTATCTCCTCCTCACTCAATGTACTCCTATCCACCGCGATGGAATACTCCGCTCGAGGAAGTTCCCACCAAATCTTCATAAACGCAACAAGGAACTCGGTAGCGTAGCCCTTCCCCCAAGCCTCCTTCCGGAACGCATATCCAATCGCCGGCCAGCCCAGTTCACACTCTCGTCTGTAAGTGCCACCAGCTCCGATGACTTCGCCTGTTTCAACGAGACTGATCACATAATAGAGGTTGGTATCGTCGTGAGGCGGTAATCTTTGTGCAGCCCACTTCTGGGTTTCCTCAAGATTCTGGTCTGGCGCGCCTTGCGATGTCCACATCATGACCTCTTTTTGGGCGCGCATGGGGAACAGGTCTTTTGCAGCATCTTGATAGAATGGTTTGAGAACAAGACGCTTGGTTCTTACTGTCGGGCGTTCCGCCAATGGTGGGTATGGTAGCTTCGTGAGAGTGGTTTTGATCTGGATGAAGTCTGGGTTCTCTGGTTGATTCAACGCCATCTTGACGAGACCTTGCGGCTGAAGCACACCTCGCAATACTGAGAGCTAAAATGAAAGTGGTTGAGTAGACGCAGGACCAAAGATGATAAGAAAGAGGAACCTCAAGGAAGATACCGTACCTTGGCCGCTTTTATGCTTAAGAGCACAACAAAGTTGGAGCCAAGTAACTACTGTCTCTGCTGGCTGTTTTCTTTGACGAACTTGACTCATTCCCTATATCGCGCAGCAAGACTCATAGGATCTAAGTTAGGCTGTTAGCCGACATCGGCGCCATGGCTGAGGGTTTAGCTAGACCAAAGATAGCAGGTTGAGAAGCCACTAGCGCGTCGTGATCCACAACATAATTCCAAGAAGAGATATATTCGAGCGAGAGGGGGCAGGAACTAGCAAATGAAGGGGACATTGAATGTTTGTCTCAAGATATATAGGATGAGTTGAACCATACTCAAGTAAGCCAGAAAGTCTGTTTCTCCTTGTTTATAGCTTCCCCATCCATGACACGATCGCAGTATGCCTCGCCGATATACACGAACTTACCAAGCTCGCTCGACCCTCCAACAGGACGCAGTACAAAAGGAATTCGTCCACCGCAAAAAACGACAACGGCATCACCAGATTTGCCCTCCACAGGACCCATGCCTAGGTATCCCATTTTTGTGAGGAACGGTCGCTTGCCCTGCATCTTCCTCATACTCTCACGATAGTTATGCTTTGTCTCTGCGCCACGATGTTCCTCCTCCCATTGCAGGAGTTTCTCTGAAACGTCTTCACCTGCAGCTGCCAGTTTGGTCATGTCGTCGAAGAGCTTGAGTTCCTGCAGAAACTGCTCGTGAAACTTTGCTACCTCCGGTTTGGCTCGCTGCTGGTCCCCTTCCCAAGTCCAGTAGATGTCTCCGATAGGTACACGCCATCGTGCCTCTGCTTTCCGCTCCTGAGTTGCTTCGCCGTGGATCATGCTAGTCTTGTCCATGGAACATTGCCATAGCTCGTCTACTTGGGCCATATAGCTAAGATATCTCTCATAATCCCAACTCATGTCCGCCCAACCATCGCCCTCGGCAACCTCCTCGATCACATCAACAGTATAGCCATGAAGTCCTAGAATTTCCGGCTTGTTATTTGGGTGTTGAATGACCTCAACCACGCTGTCGTGTCCAAACGACGCAAATAGATGCTTGTCCATGCGCTCGTTTATGGTATAGAACGAACGACTTAAGTTAGATCGCCAGTCAGGAACCCATGATGGTAGATGTGAAAGCTCATCAAGTTTGGGAAACTGGGAGTAGCATAAAAGCTCCACACGACCACTCTTCTCAATCAGCGTGCGTGCAGTCTGTGTTAGGATAAGCTCGGTGCTTCCCTCATAGTCCGGCTCGATCCCAAGCATCTCAGCATCAGCAGCGAGACCAAGAAGGGCAAAGATGCGATCACGATGCACCGTCGCATTCGTCTCAAGCTCAACGAATAGCCTGCGCAACAACATGTACAGCTCGTCATCTTTATGCTTCTGATGACGTGAGCGACAGCCAAACAGCCGTGCTGTTGGTTCAGAAGATACTTCGGATAGTCGCTCCAATGGCATCTCGGGCGGTTGAAGCTGCTCATAGTCGCCCTGTGGCATGTTGCCTATCGCGGTTTGAAGCAGCAGTACCGCGAATTTGACAAAGTCTACGGGTATCGTCTTGGAACCGCACACGAAGATGGTATCAGGACACAGACAAAACTCCTGGATGATCCAGACTCGTGAAAAGTACGGTCTCTCAAACCATTTCTTCAGCAGCATTTCCTTTAGCAAAGGAGCAAAGGTCTCAACAGTACTCGCCAACAAGCTCTGGAAGCTCATAGCAGTCTCATCAGAAGGGTCTTTGCTTCTCGCCAATGCTGATATGAGGTAGTAACTCTGTGGATTCATGTAGCCCTCCAGTCCGAACTCTCGAGACTTCTGGCCAATGTCTTGCCATGCTTCCATCAATCCGTCTGAGCCATCTTGAGCTGGACCAAGCCATACTAGCACTTGTGTCGCAGATGAGTAGATTCTCCCCATCATCGCGACCTGCTGGCCTTTTTCTTTATTGTCTGCCTGGTTGATACAGATCTGGTCAATCCATAGAGTTATCACCTCGTCTGGCGTGCGGAAATGTCGTAGTGCCGTCTCCAGCGACCCCGTGATAGGTATGAAAACCGATTCATCGTCACTCGAGTTTGATATCTGAATTGATTGTGTTTTATTGCCTAGGCCCCAAACATACGAGAGAGCGACGTATGGTGATGGGCTTTCAATGGAGCTTGTGTGTAGACGTCCGATCAGACGGCTATCGACCAAACCCTGTGAGGGGTAAAGATCTAGCAGCCGGATCTCGGTTGACGCTGTCCGTAGTTCCACCGAGCCATAGTCAAAAGCCTGGAACTGGTCCATGATGAGCTCGATTGAGTTTGATAGATCATCAAGGTCAGCACGGATGTTGAGGCGGGGTACTGACCTCACTGTACAGCAAACGTCAATAGCGCCAACGCCACGCTGACAAGCTGAGACAGCGTAACTTACCACGCAGCTAATTGATATCACAATCAAGTTTCAAGTCTCGTAAATTGCCGCATAACATTCATTCTTCTTCCATCGCCATTTTGTTGAGCTATTGCGCTTCTTCGTGGATAGGTTTGATAGGATAGCAGTATGACGCTAAATCTTGAAAGGCCTTGCGATCGGCGGTGAGATTGCAGCTGAAGCTGAGACATACATCGACTAGCTTACATAGTCGCGACTATCCTGTTGATCTGATAATAGATCTGGAATAAATCATCGTTTTCAACAAAAAGGACTCTAGTTAGTTACATTAGCCGCAGGATTGCCATCTTGACATACGTCAGCGAAAGACACGGCAAAGACACAACTTTTGTCTATAAATTCACTCTCTTCGCTCTTCAATCTCCATCCCATCTCACTCACCAACTCATATTTCTAATCCTTCATTGCACCTTATCACCAATCATATCACAATGTCCGATCCCGCCAGTCAACAACGCATCCAAGACAGCAAGCAGAGACTCCAGCAGGCCTACAACCACGCTACCAGCGAAAAAGAACGTGCCGAGTCCGGTTTCAAGCAAGAGGAATATGCCGGGATCACCAATGGCCAAGTGTTCAATGTATGGTCTGTTCAGAATGTAAGTCTCCACAAGCCTTATACAAAAAGGACGTGTCACTGACCAGAAGACAGGCGCCTGGCTACCACGCGGCCCTGAGGGGTTACCAAGCAGCAAAGGCTGCGTACGACCAGGCACTCCAACATGGAGATAACGAAGCTTTCCAAGATTGGAACAAGAAGTATAGAGAGGCGGTATTGGGGGATAACCCTGCAAGACCCGATTACAATGTTCTCGTGGAGCCTTGATTCATAGTATAGACACGTTATGCCATGCTGCTATTTCTGATAGCAAGGAACCTACTTATCTAGTCATGAAATAGATTTCTAAATGGCGAACGGAAATTGCTGTTTAGATGCTTGCATGATACATGAACATGAAAATTTATAACAGAATTCTCATAGCTCAAGACCTGTTTTTATTGTAATGGCCTTTTAGGCAGAAGTGTGAATAATGAGAAAGAATGCTGTGTCCTTATTCTCTATGTAGTCAGCCAAGCATTGAACCTTTTGGCCATCCTTGAGCCACCAAGACCTCAGATACCGACCTCCTCAGATTCTCATCCATGTCCAGCTTCATTCTTTGCGCAAGTTCCAGCCAGCGCTTCTCATCTCCACGGCGCCACGAAGAAAGAAGACTTCTCACACACAAAAGCTCCAAAAAGACCTGACGCGGTGTCTTTGAGTAGTCAACCTTGAAACTATCCTTGGCTCTCTTGTAATCCGTCGAAATATCCAGAAGCGCATAAACAATATCCTGCTCCTTGGTGCATTGAAAATCCGCGAGCTTACATACGGATAGCCACCGATGCAAAGTGTTGATCTCGCTTCAGCGGCACAACCGGGCCATCGAGTGTTGGTTCGCTGGGCTTTGTGTAAAGTCATCGCCGTACGTGTCGTACGCCGAGTTCAGGCTCACGAGGGATGTCTCCCACTTGCTGTCGGAGACGGATTTGTGGCCGCACCATACTACGTAGCTTTTTGCGAGGTAGAGTTCTTGTATGATCCAGACTCGGCGCCAGTATCTTCGATGACAGAGGGAAAGTAAGGCCTTCAACTCCCGTGAGTCTGAGTCTGGTCTTTCGTTGAATCTCATGGCATACATCGCCAAGTCACTGTCGTCTCTGACAGGACCGAGCCATGATATTACACCGACTGCTTCTGTAAATATCTCGCCCATCATGGCGACTTGCCGGCTCTTCTCTTGAACATCTGACTGGTTGATACATATTGCATCCACCCAGAGCCGTAGATCTTCCGTTGGCTTTCTTATGTTCTTCAGGGCCTCAAAGAGATTCATGCGAATTTGAACTTGACGGTTATCGATGGTGACGAAAGGATCATTCTTGCTTTCGTCTTCCCATTCATATGAGAGAGCATGGTATTCGGCTCCATCTCGCATCGCAGGTTGGAGGTTGCATGCAATCGGATCATCACCTTTTCCATGCTTGAGGGTAAGTATGCGAATCTCGGTCGTTGGCGCAAGGGAGCTATAGTCAATAGCAAGAGCCTTCTCTGCCATTTTTGCCGTTTTTCAGAGCTGTACAACAGTGAGTAAGACGCGCACTACCACAGTGAGCAGATGGAGGCTGAGCTGATGCCTGAAATGCATTGGTACCTTATGCTGCACCAAGGAATAAGCATTAGCGGGGTCTCGCTCCGCTGACAAGGGACACCTTAGTTTACCTCAGGTGAGTGAGTTGTGATCAATATCGACGATTGACAAGAGCGCCATGCCTTCGTGATAAGAAATTATTTTTGCAGTATTTCTTCCAGGCTATAGAAGCTACCAGCTAATTATCAGATTCAACTTGCTCTATCTCCCGATCTCTCACCTCAAATCCTTTATCAATCCTTGTCTGAGTGACTGCTGCAACTCCAACTACCCCGCGTTAGCAAGAATGATATGTAATCGACCTGATGTAGATACTCACAAATCAAGAATTAGGTAAACTTTGAAAGCAGCGGAAGCCAAACAGTAATTGCTACTAGCTGTCCAAATGACCACGATTCCGAGCCTGTCGAAGATCGATACAGAGTGTTATACAACCTTAAGAGAGCTTGGGTAGTAAGGACATTGGTCATGAAAATAGGGATAGACCTTAACCCAATGACCAACCAAACTGCGGCATATATTCTCTTAAGGACATTGAGTATTCTCGGGCTTGAATGGGGGTCCAAGCGCAGACGTTGACAGTAAATACGGTTGAGCCACCGAAGAATGAACAAGAACACAAGGCCAGATGCCATGACATCTATAAAGTGAACAAGGCTATAACTCTCTGTCATGTAATCCCTTGCTTGAAAATAAATATCAGACTGACTTCTGCAATATGCCATTGGTCCTGGGTTGTTTCCACATGCTTGGACGAGAACTTGAGGCTTGTGGCGCTTCCAATACGACGCAGCATCAACGCTTTGATGATATCGAATGACTAATGTCAAAGCCCAGTCTACCACCATAAAGAACAGGTCCATAGCCCGTTGCTATAGTTACTAGCTGGAGCAGAGCCTGGGTAAGTAACAGCGAAAAGAAGCTGGCTGCTACAATACCTTGAGAGACCCTCAGGTTCGCAACGTAGTTTAAAACTGGCATGCTCTCAGATATGCTCGTGTAATTGCTGAATGTTACAATTTCTGCAACAGAAAGGACACAGGAATAGAGGGCTTGCGCTTCCTGAAGGTCAACCAGGATCGAGCTAATGGCAGTGAATAAACGTTTCCAAATTCTGACGTAACGTTTAGGTCCTGTTGGGCGGCGATAGGCTTTCCATAGACTTTTCTTATCAAATCTTAACAATACCGGAAGCGGAAGCGCCAGAACGAGAAAGAGAAAGGAGCAGCAAAGACCCATAATTGACTGGATGATAGAAGATAGAAGCACCTGCAAAAGTGGTCAGCATTAAAACGAGATAATGGGATTATGGCAAAGGTACTTACACCTGGACCTGTTATATCAGCGTCAATCTGAAAATCGACCCCCTCACAGTAGCTGTTATTGAGGACATTTCCAAACTCGATGATAGTATCTGCAGTCACATTCGTCGACTGAAAAGGACCGAAAGCAGGCACACATTTTCCATCGTCAAAGGTCGAGCATGACTCCCATAGACAGCCACGTAACGTGTCGAGAACTCGTAACTGATGGAAGTCCTCTAGGGAACCAAAGTTGAAGATATTGTTTGCTTCACTTTCATTTCCCGGTTGTACTGTATCATTTCGATCAACTGTCTGGACGGCCAGTGTTGCCAACATCACACAATTCCATAGGTTTTCAGGATTCTTGAACAGTTCCTCTTCCTTAGAACATGTTTCCGTACAGTTGAGAATCGCTGAATTTTCAACGCTACATTCAGTGTCAATGAGATGAGCATATTGAACAGGCTCGCCCAGGTAACTAGATATGATCTTAAAGAAGCATAAATCCCACAAGCCCCAATCTGGAGGCTCAGTATCCGTGAACCATGAGGTAGGGTAGTCGAACTTTTCGATCTTGATAATATTCCATTCTGTCATAATGAAGAAGGTAGATGTGCCAAGCCAATCGTGGGCAATCGTATAGGTGGCTAATATGCTGTCTGAACTTGGATTATAAGAGTGTTATTATGGGTTGATTGACCTGACAGCTGATACTTAAATCCCGCGCCTCACTGGAGTTAAGTATAGGTGACGAAGGGACTGGCAGCCTTTTATGTTCTATACTTGCTGTTGCCACGTAAGCGTGGCGCTTGAAAGCTGAAGACTCTGGTGAGAAGTGCAAAACCAGGCTGGGGCTGTGTGCATCAAAATGCAAAGGGAACTCACGTATCATCCAATAGGGTCATTTCGACATGACTCCCGACCTCCACTATGTCGTAATGGCAGATGAATTTTCCATTGCTAGGCTCTCTAGCGAAGGCTTATTAGGTTTCTTTTGCATTTCCATTCTTGATTAACAGACTTGCCCAGTTTCTGTACAGTATCACGTTATAGTGCATGAGCTGATTTATGGCCCAGGCCTGTTGTGATCGATGAGAGTGCCTAGTTCGTAGCATTTCTTCTGGTGTGACTTTACTTGCCCGGCCAACGAATAAGGCATGCGCCGGAAGCAAAGTGCAAGGCAGACTGGTGACATCTCTTGGTTGCCGTCAGGCTTGCAGGTTAACTATTGGTGATTGGCCAGATCTCTGTGTCTCGTCCGGAAGCGAACTAAGTCACATCTGGTTAGAAAGTTGAGATTATGTCATCACTTTTAGGGCGAATGATTTTCTCCACGCGTCGAGAGATGATGAACCCGCCTCTGATCCCTACCCAATCAAACCCGCGTCGAAAGATTGGAAAAGCAGGTCAACAGCCACATACATTCCCCATCCATTCTCAATATCTTCAAATCCATCAGCCATGAAAACAAGCAAAGCGAAAGCAACTGCCAAGAAGCCAAGGGCGCCAAAGACACCCAAGGTCAAATACAGAAGGATGACCATCACGAAAACACAAAAGACGTGTACTGAGACTTATACCACCACCCTGAGGACCTTACCACCATCAGCCACTTCAATGTCAATGAATTAGACGCGGAATATCTCCGGAAACTCTTGTTCCTCGACATGCCAAACCTAGAAGGCCTCAACTTGAGATTCCGTACAAGCGCGCTTTCACGGCTGGATGAAGGACGCAAGACAGAATTGAACAGTCGCATGGTTGCCAAACCGAAATTGAAGACACGTAAGCTCAGCTGTCGCGATGCCGGATGAAATGGCGACAGCTAACTATTTGCCCAGTGAATTTCATACAGGATAATCCTCGCGAAACATACGGGATGATCTTGAATGATATTCCACTGCTCTTCCACCCAAGCCTCACAACTCTCAAACTGCAGAAAGTCCGCATTCGTGAATTCGGACGGCCATCTGTCCGACCTCTCCCTTTTGAGAATCTCGACTCCTTTTACCTTCATGCCCCCGACTATTCATACGAGGTTCTAAACAAATTCCTCAAGAACGCAAAGTCGCTCAGGCATCTGGAGTTTCATCATCCTTTCGAAGTATCAGCACGTTCAGATCCCCCAGATTTCTCCGAGCTCCTCCAGCCGTGCAAGAGCAGTCTCCAAATACTCGAACTGTGGTGGGATTGTATGGATCCCCTTTGCTTCAACAATCCGGGCATGAAATTCGCGGACTTGACAGCCCTGCAATATCTCGCTATTCCTCCTAGAGCATTGTTTGGTCCGTATTGGTTTGAGAATGATCTCGACTTCTTGCAAATGCTCAAAGATCATATCCCGCCCAACCTCAAGGTTCTGTTCCTGCAGGATATTAGTCCATGTTGGTCAGATGAGGAACTTGATGAGGAACTTGATGAGGACTGTGACCCAGAAGCAATATTACTTCCTAATGATTACAAACTGATCAAGGCATTGCTCACTAACAAGGAATTATTCCCGTCGCTAAGGTACATTGCTTGGACATCAGAGATCGGCACTATACCGCCAGAGGACCTTGACAATATGGCCGCAGAGTTAGGAATGGCCATCAAGTTGGTGGCTAATAGGCCTGAGCTACCACCTGACCCGAAATGGCTTGATAGTCTATGATGAGAGGGAAATGGGATAAAGTGATAAAACTATGTAGATGCTTGAGGACTGTGTGTCTGCAAAGTAAGGTGTGAAAGAGAAGCCTTGTTTCTTGAAAGCGTATTCATTTCGATTTCCTTTTCTGCTATTGTAATCATTTTCAAGGACCAAAGTGTACCATTGGTCCCCAAGTAATTACAAATTCAGGATCTTGCAGCCGAAGAAATATCGTCGCGTCATGAAATGCCGTAGCAACCATGTCTGCTGGATAATGACTATTGCTTTGACTACACATCTGAGCTCGACGAGCCAGAGATGCATAGAACTCGGTTGCAAATATGACAGATGCCTTTTCTTCGACCTCCCATAGAGTGCCAATAGTATTCGCATACCCCAACAACTGAAAAGCACCCACAATGTGAATATTTTCCTCCAATACGCCCGTTGCTATCTTGTCAGCTGTCTGGCAAGCTGCCAGGTACGCCAAGAAAGAGTTCCGGGATCCTCTGCTAGCAATCTGCCTGACACTGAGAGGATCTTGCACAACCTCAGATTCTCCACTCGGCTCGGAGTGCTCTTTTCTGCAAAGAATGAGCGAGCTGTTGGATGGGTTCCTTTGTGAGATACCGTGGCAGACTATATGTGCCATTTGGGACGCGCAAAGTGCATCAAGGGCATCGGAACATGTGCAGTTCTCCCGGTATGTCGTGTTGCTTTCATCTGTAATGAACTGCCTCACGGCTTTCAGGTGATCAGGCACCTTGTCAAAATCGGGCCACGGGCCTGGAGTCTTTGTCATCCCTATGATGGCCATCTTGGATTGACTGAGAGGCTTCGATAATGTCAAATTTTCCATTACACGGATTGAATGGCGTAAGGATAGAATGGTGGTAGTATAGCTCGACATGACATGGCTTATGGCGTTGTTTGTTGAGTCATCATCATGATGGCCTGCTGCATGAAGAGGCATCAGGCCCATGATATTCGAAGTTAGCCAATGAATTCTCGCGAGTTGCGTAGTAGGCAATGGAGCTTCTGGAGTGTAACAGCCCAAATGCCTCAGTACGGGCAAAACAGCGACATCCCATAGCCAGATCAGTAATCTCTTGAGATTTTCGTTGATTTCAAAAAAATTGTTGAATTTGAGACTGTGTAGCGCATCTTCCACTGGCATTTGCATAGTTGCGTAATACTCTGTACATTCGTGGAGTTTCAAGTCCGGTAGGTCCAGCACCTGAATCCCGGACCCTGTCGCAATGAGAGCGCTGCTTCGGAACTCAGTTAACACAAATGCCACGATTGGTGATGTCGAGGCTATCCCGATGATGCAATTCTCTGTCAATTGTGGGTTTACATCAAATCCATAGTTGGTCTTGAGTCGTTCCTCAATGTTGGCAGCAGAGCTTGCATCTTCCAGACGGCGAGAGGTGCTGTCGGTCAAAGTCGAGGGGTATTCATCTCCGAGGAAATCGCCACTCATCGGCGCTTCGATTCTCCGTTTCAATTGCCGATAAGTCTCCAGAAGCTGCCGACCTCTATCGTCGAGCTTTGAGGAATCAAGGCCCTGTGCAAAGTCTGTGGATCGCTTGGCAACGATGCCTCGACCAGCCTCCAAAAGCTCCATGGCTTCGCCAGGAGTAGCGCCAGCTTCAAGGGCTAAAGCGGCAGCCAAATTAGACAGACCTGAGGTATTTTGCAAGGCCTGTAGTTGGCTGTCTTTTTCGAGAGCACAATATACCAAATTTGGCATCATATTCACTCCGATTCCCGCAAACCTGGCAGCCTTGACGAACTGCTTCTTACTTGCACACAACAATGCAGCCCGATGGCACGAAGTGATACGCGTGAGAGTCCGAGCCGCCTTCATATTTGAACATTCTTCAAGAGCTTGCAAAGCGGCATCAAAGCTCTGCTCGATACCAGACTTCTCAAATTTCGATTGGTGTAGATCCGCCAACTGAACTAAGAAGTCACCTCGGTTGTCTTGTAATTCGCTGGAGGCCTGAACGGCGGCGGCGGCCTTGGAAATTGCTGTATCTAACAAGTCTTGATTCTGAGAACCAAGACGTTGATATTTTTCATGCAACAGCCTGCTCCAGAAGTCGTTTTGCATTGCTAGCAATGACTGGTCCAGATTCTGTGCTGCTGTCGATTGCTCGAGGTATCCGATGGATCTCTCAACGAGCTCATCTCGTGCCGTTTCGCTTAACCCGGATGTTGTTTTTGATTTTTCATCCAACATGGTCGCAAGATTGTAAAGACACCTGCCCCACCGCATAGGGTTGTCTTTGAGAGCTTCTACTGCAAGCTCAGCAAGGCTGATGGCACTGTCGATACTGTTGTTGTCTGGGAAGGCTTGGTGATATGATTGGTGGTAGGAGGCAAGATTACTAAGAATCACTGGGTACACTAAGCCCTCCGTTTCCAGGCCGTCGATTTGCAGGGCAGCTGAGGAAATCCGAATTGCGTCCAAGAGATCTGAGTTGGTACCAAGTGACTCATAACGAAGATTGAGAGCCATAGAAAGGTTACCGAGAATCTTAGCACGTGTTGGAGCAGTAGCTGAGGAAGAGGATTCCTTTGCCTTTGTGAGTAACTCTATGGCTTGGTGAAGATAATCAAGGCCTCCAGTCCGTTGAAATTGGTACCTAAGGCATTGTGCGAAGTTGGACTGTCTCGAGGAAATGGACGTGTCTTCGGGACTAGTATTGTCCATTGCTTCTTTGGATAACTTTGTGGCTTCATCCAGGTCATTGAAATCTCCTCGCTTCTCGAACCGAGTTAGGAACATGGTTGAGACGTCGCTCAGGCAAATAGGATTACGCCCAAGAGCGGCAATCGCACTTTGGCCATTCTGAATGGCTCGATTGATGTCCCTCGAGGCGTTTTCTGCAGAATCCTCACGTTCGGCCCTCTCAATAAGACAGTTGGCTAGATTCAAAAGAACAGCACCATGAATCTCCCCTTCGTCGTTTGCCGCTTCAAGTGCTCTCATATAGTAGGAAATCGCCTGGTCCAAGGCCGTAGAATCGGAGAAGCTTTGGAACATCGAGGTTGCCATTTGTGCTGCAAGAGCCCAAAATTCCATCTCTTCACCCTCTTCGCCACTCGAGGGGAGCATTTCTGCCCCTGACCGAACAAGCTCGATACCCTTGGCAAGTGCTCGCCTGGCCTTCTCGAGGTATGTTTCGTCAGAGCTTGACTGCCACAGATCCAGGAAGCCTTCGGCAACGGTGGCATACTGCTGACCAATGAACACGTGCTCGTTTGCGTCTTCAGGCTCATAAGACATTAGAAGAGCAATTTGCTGATCTAGTTGACTGGCTTCATCAGAACTCCCTGAGACTGTCATTGTTGAGTTAGCTTAAGAGGCCAAGCGGGGATGAAAATATAGAGCAACCTTCAAGTTGTAAAGAAGCAGACATGTTGCTGGTAGTGCAATGATTTATGACTACGAACGATAGACTTTAAAAGGAAGATAAAGAAGATCTGCAGGGGATCAAAGGATGGGGGCACCTTGTAAATGGATCAGCGAAAAGATTGTATGGTGGTGGTTGATGGCAGTTTTATTGTCTTATCTGAAAAGTACTAACTAGGTACTGCTATGCTTACTGCATTTTCTTCACGGTACGGGACGGAAGAACTAATCTTTAACCCTTTGTAATTATGCTTCAAAATCCAGAATCACCCAGCTCAAGCCACATCTTACACAGACTGTCCTTAGAGCTGCGCATGACAAGAATGATTTGCCATGAGATGCCCTTCGCTATCTACCCCTCTCCGTTCCGTGACGGAAGCCTTTTCTTTTTCCTGTTTGTAACTGCACTGTGAGTGGCGGGACCAGTCAGTTGCAAGCCACATCCTAGACTAACCAGCTTGGTAGATATGCATATCAATATGATTCGCCATGAGCTGTCCACGTCATTTACATATCGCAGCCTGATATGCAGCCATGATACGATGTTAGAAGCGCGAGAGTTGAAAACGTATTTGTCTCACTGATGTCTGGGCAAACAATAAGCATTAAAAGGACATAACTAACACTCCGAATATCACTACCTCTGCGTTTCATCCATCTCACACACTAGTGACAAACAAGATGCCGCCCTTGACAGTCCATAGCCACCTCTTCCCACGAGAGAGCGTTCAACTCGGACGCCTTGTCACGACTATCAAATCGCCTCAAAACTCCTACTATCCCGCTGGCAAACAACGATTCCAAGAGGGAGATATTTATTCTGTTGTCAACAAAGACTTCTATGATCTAAGGCAGAAAAACAAAGATTCAAAGCTTCAGGCAGTTCTCACCTCGGTTGCCTCCCTTCTATTTCAGACTGAGGAGCACCTTGATACAAAGATTCAAGATACAATTTGCCTTACATACTTCCTGGACAACGCCGACACAAAGTTCAGAGAGATGTGCAAAGATAAGGTGGCCAGAGAATGGTTTGAGGATGCATTCAAGAAACGAAGGCATGTGTACATGGTAACGGCCATTCAGACATTAATAGATGTGAAAATGAGCCTAGACAGCGGCACGAGTGGTGCAGTGGAGGGTGAGATCAAAATTCCAGTATCCAAGGTCTTGGGCGAGCCATCAGGAGCAGCGCCTCTTGATCCGAAGCTGGTGGCACAATACAGAGAAAAGAAGCATAGGGAAACTGGTTTTGTCGGACAGGGTGAGCAGATCTACGCCATTCAGTACCGAAAAGTCAAGTGGCAACTGTTCTCATCTCGCGATATGGAAACGTCTTTTCTAGAAGAGGGAAATAGATGGCAGGTGATGTGGAAGACGATGGGTGCTGAGAAGAGTACCCGGGATGCTCTTGAGACTACGTTAGAAGATGACGATGCAACTCCAGACCGAAAGAGTGGTGTCTCAACTTGTGAAGTTGAGGGATATGGAACCATCTATTATGTATAAGTATGTATTTCAGTTCACAAAATTTCGTTATTTTAAGTTGATGATGGCTTGCATGCCAACACAGACAGAATAAACCCCCTTTATACGGGGACAGAATCTAACCCAGCGTATTAGTCAATGCTACACAGACACCATAGTCTGGGGCTCTTGAGTAATTGCTCAAGTCTGATTCGGCGACGTTAGTAATTGACCCTTACGGCCACTTTATATGCAGAGCCCTTGGTGTTCCCTCTACCCACACCTGACGGCTTTTCACATCCGACTTTCTCTTTTCAGCTTCCACGAGATTAGTCCCATATGTCCCAGGGCCGGGGACATTACTTGATACTACACGGTCGTTCAAGTAGCTGTCAAGGCCACTAGAGCTACCATTTCGTAGCAGTATCGCGGTGCCAAGTAAGATGTCCATGTAAAGGCTAGTAATATGTCGATTGCGATGTAAGTGAAGTGCCAGAATGACAGTGGTGACAAATGTGACGGCAAGGATAACCACTGTAGCTATCGCAGCAGACTTCACTACAAATAACCGAAGCCTGAGCGGGACATAGTACCGGCAACTTCGCGTCTTTGTGCACTAGAGTAGCCTTCCAAGGTCACGAAGTTGGAAAATAGAGCGGCAAAGATGACGCTGAAGGAATCGGCAATCTTTTGCTTGTCCGGCAGGGTGTTGAGGGTTGCGTCTCCGGAGGCATGTCCTATGACTAGACGCGAGAAGCTATCCATATCATTGTATATAGTCGGATCAAAGAGCGAGTACCGGGGCATATCCCGCAGCCACCTGGAGATGAAAAATGGCCAGAACTGCTCTTTATTGGTTTCTGAGAATTTGATCACCTTGGGAGTTGCGGTGTCGTTGAGAAAAGACATTTCCAGCGTGACATTGGACTTGTATATCAGAGGCTGGCAAGTCACAACCGTAAGGTTGGAAAGATGAAATTGTTCGGTTGCGTTGTAGCTCCCTGAGAACATTCCGAATCTTGCTCTCCCGCTTCTCAGTCCGCAGTCGGTAGACCAGGTTCTCGCGTACTGTAGGGTGTTGTTTGTAAGGGTGAACCACTTTTTAACCTCACAGCCCTCATGCTTGAAGCCGAAACGAATTTGAGCAGAATCCAAGTCGTCGCCTTCCTCAAGATCAAGACTTACCCCCTTGATCTTGACTAGATCCTCTTCCGTGGCGATAGTACAGTCGAGATTCGAGGAGTATGACTCAGTGGCAAAGGTGTAGTTTCCCCGGAAATCTTTAGAAACTGGGATGAATGGCAAGAAGGAATGTGTATCGGTTGTCCAAGGATAATTGTCTCCACTTCTTAAAACTGTGGCACTCACGATGTCGAATGCTGGTGTTACTGATGAGTTACCAGTACCTTTACCCTCGTCCCAACCAAGATACTCGTCAAAGGCTTTTTCACTGTAAAGAGTGGCAGGCGTCTCGGAAGGAACCAGAGTTGTCGCAAAGATGGCCGCAGTGAGGCCGCCTGCAGTCCAGAGAGCTGCTCGTAAGAGGAGACATATGCCCAAGAGAACATGGCCTGCCCTCATGGCCCGGAAGCCATTTATGACAGGCCACTCCCCGTAGTCCAGTAACAAGGTCCTTTCAATCGTGGAGCCTTTCGCTTGTGGGGTAGACTGGGACTGAGTGGACTGATGACGAGAGTATCGTTTCCAGATTTTCAGAAAGAGTTCGGTACCTGGTAAAGGCTTTTGAAGATCTTTATCGAGTTCAAGAAGAAGATAGACCTTCTTTAGTGAATCAAGCATTGCAGACCATAGAGAAGAATAAGCCGACATGATCCACGCTGGGACAGTGGCCCAGACAATAGAGGAGCTCAGAATTGGAGGAGGATGGAAACCTTTCGAATCAAATGAAGGGTCTGGATTGTCTCCAACAGTAGCCAGTCCGTTGTTTGTGTTTGACACATGCCAAAGTACAGAGATGGTAGTAATTATGGCGATCTGGCAAAGAAGCTGAAGGGCCATCCCCCATTCTGTGAGAAGTAGCGGTGGTCTTTGAGGAGGGGATCTGTTCTTGTATGCATGATATTTGTTTCTGATCGTACTTATTAATCCTTTGACGATACCAATCACAGACGCGGTCACGCCGCGGAAGACTGGTAGTATTTTGTCAGACATAATCACCTCGTATTTTGTGACTTCAAAAGAGAGACATGAATATAGAAACATTCCATATTACTTACATTGACATATAGATGTCCATATGGAGTTCAAACTCCAGTGATTTGTGGCATTGTGACGCATGGCGATTGAAGTACGAATTGAAATATTGATCTGGACTGGGCTTTGTCGCTCTCACGAGGACCAGTGCGCCTACTCATAAACAAATGTTGCATCGGATGCAAGTTTCTCAGGTGATTTTGGTTCCATCGAGAAGCTGATAAGTAAACCCAAAATGGCTAGAAATATTGGTGAGGCTGGATTTAGGGGGCTCATTTGCCAATCAGATTGCACGAGTTTCACACCATCTTTCATCCCCGAGGGTGATAATGGCTTGTCACTTTTTCAGCTGTCATTTCGTAACCAAATCAGATCCGGGGATAAAAGACATCGGCTGGTCGTAAATTGCTCATGTGGCTGGCGGTGGTACAACAGATGTGAGGACAAGCCTCCAACCTAAGATGCTCCCTCGAGCATACCAGTCTTATTTGTACCCCGACTTTCCTCTTATGATTACATCGGCCTGAAGAGGCTTTTTTGCATCGTTCTATAGATACGCAACGGAAATAATTCACCATGAAGTCTCAAATGATATTCGCATACCTTCTGCAGCATTCCATCGCGCAAACAATCTCAACAAGCTGGATCTGCGAGGCTGGATCAGATATCACTTCATTCCCTGCCTGCAACGGGTTCCTCAATTCCGGAAATGCTTGCGCGACTGTGTTAGACCGACCCGGAAAACAGAAATGCCTTTGCAACCAAGAATACCTCGACTCTCTATACAAGTGAGTACTTCAGCCACCACTAACCATCTCATCACTGACACTAGACAGCTGTGAAAATGAGTTACAGCTCTGCTATCGGGGTAATTACTATCAAGACTCATTCGATAGAGGCATAGAGCTTTGGGAAAGTCTTTGCCGCAGCTACGTGACATTTTCTCCGACGACGCCCTCAGCACAAGCGTACAGTGCTTATCCAGAGCAACTCTGTGTCGATGTTGACAAGGCTTGTCAATCGGCGAGGAACATACTTAGTGATTGCTCGCCGTATGTTTCGGATACGGATACGTCGAGGCTGAGCTCTTGCGAGTGTCAGCCTAGGTTACTTCGGCAGGCTTATACTTGTCAGTATATTGGGAACGCTTCGTGTCTTACTACAGAAGCTGCGACGACGAATGCGTATGGGTATGGGATCTGCGACAACTTTGGGTCTGTCATCGGGGCTGAGCAGGTGAGTGCAGCACGTAACGATTGTTGTCGATCCTATCAACACTGACATCCCTTCCAGTCGGCCAAAGACGAACCTGCGCAGACTAGTGCTGAGGACCTACCAACTCTGTCGGCCTCGACACGTGCGACACTGACCGTAACAGCATCGCAAACTTCGACTCAGACCTCAAGCATCAGTAGCAAGGCTGCTGCACCTAGAGTATTTCTAATGCTGAGCATTATGGCACTTGCCATCGTAGGATAGTCTCAGCGATTTACCTGCTACGGTTATTAATTCAGGTGCCCCTCTTGATCCTTATATAACAAAATATTTCCCGAGAAACTGTGAAAAAGCTCATGGTGTTTCATATGCAAATAAAACTCGAATAACTTTTTAAAGCACTATTCTGTTGGATCTGATGCCGGATGGTTAAATGAGTCAAACTCCAGGGAGTCCGCCCATAACCACAGCTGACTAGCATCCACAAGTCCCGAATCCACGAGGGCGGACATGTCACCGTCCCAATTGAACGTGCCCATAGTCCCATTGTCTCCATCGTTTCCATAATTTCCCGTGACAGAGCTTTGTGGGTGCAAATTGACTCCAGCGGATGGTGTGGAAATATGCTGTCTGAAGACTGTTATTGTATCATTAGCTCATAACCACTGATTGCATATGTTCATTTATCAGAGCAGCCTTGTGCTTACCTTCTTGAATCGGCTCTAAGACTCGCTCGTTTCTGGGCTCACTTGGACCAGATGCGATACCTGGTCTGGGCGCTATTGTTATGTTTGCTCTAGGTCCCCCATTGTCGGACGATCCCGTATCTCTCTTGCCAGGACCTGTATGGGGGTTTGGATAACTCGTTCGTCCGGTGATCATATCCGTCTCCTTTCGCAGTATAACCTCAACCAAGCTATCGATGATACTAAGACTCTGCTCCGAGACCAGCTGGCCACTATAAAGACCAGCCGTAGTCTCCCGACACATACGCGTGATGTGCATGACACCGGTCTTTGCGCGTGACCCCATTTCAGTAAGAGGCTGTGATAGACAGATAGCGCAAAGAACAACACCAGCTGTGAACATGGTCATTCCAACATGCACATCTGCGTGAGTCCTTCGGCAAGCATCTAGGATGTTAGGATGCCGGGAAAGTTCAGATGTATTCATAGCTGAAGCGAAGATTCGTTGAAGAGAGGCACTGTTTTTGGCGGAAAAAGATGATATGTCATTGATATCGTTGAAAACTGCTGTACGATGCAGAATAATCTGCAGGTTGTCGTAGGTAAGCTGTAGGCTGAGGGCATGTATCTCTGTTGGTTTCACTATTCTCGGGTCCATTGAACTCTCTTGACCCTTGAGGGTTAGGACGTCAGGGAGCTCGTGACGCCACTGTAGCATTCGCTGGTGTATAGTTTCAACCGATTCGAAGTTGTTTCTTTGCCTCTTACGTCCTAGGAACGCACCCATGATTCTATAGAGACGGAACTTGTGTTGGTGGTAGAGGATGAGTGGCCTAGCAGGGACATGCTTGTGGCCATCGATGTCAATATCTGAGATCATCTCGACTTGGCAGTCAGAGTCATCAATAATGCAGGGCCGCCCAAATGCAACGGCTGCGTATCTGTTAATGAGACCTTGGTAAGCTTGCAGACATAAGAACGAAGAAAGATCTTAATACAGTGCTTACTTATCGAAGACTTCCAATGTCCACCAAGTACGCCGTTTGACTTCTCGCGCTAACTGAGACTGCTCCTTCCAGAAACTCTCACGGTGTAGTCCAATGACCTGGGCAATTTTGACTCCCATTCCACAGATACCGAGTCCCGTTGTGGGTCGTGTATAGAATATGAAACTGCCAAGTAGGATACATATTTGGACTGTTTCTACAGTCTGACATCCGATAATCTGCAAGAAACGAGTTTCAATAACAGCAATCAGATCTCGAGAAAGCTGTCGGTACTGAGGACTCATCTGATCCTCAGGGTCTTTGAGTGCAGCGTAATGTGCACCTAGCGCCATGACTAGTAGCCAAGTCCAGTAGAATGTTGTATCTTGGTACTTGATTTGTGAATGTTGCAGCATTTCTACATACCTGCGGCGAAAGGTATCTTCGTGGAAGACCATCATGAACCAGTTGACCGAAGAGAAGAAGCTGTCCACCAAGTCTTCCAAGATATTGTCGGCCGGTAGTTCCACGCCGACTACGTTACGCCAATGTTTGGCAGGTAGTGTGGTGTTGGCTTCGAGGAGCTTCGTTCCGCCAGGTAGTGACGAGGTATCATGTCGTAAATCCTGGCTGGTGCCACTTCCTCGTATCATCTGCAGTTATCATACAAGTGTCAATATTAATTCCAAACGAGAGAATCTTCACTTACAAGAGCACTTAGGTCAACGATGCTGGACTCTGGGAGTATGGGAGACCCTGGAGTCTGATCCTGTCTATCCCTCGCATCAGTCTGGCCAGATGAAGATGCCCCAAAGCCTCGTGATGTTGACTCGCGAGGTACGCACTGGGCACCCGCGCGGACGCAATGAACACAAGGTCTCTCCGCATCGCACTGCGAATTAGTCAGCGAGACAGGTTATGAGATTGGAGGTCACTAGGACACGTACTCCGAGCTTGCGCTTACGGCAGCGTTCACAAGCAGAAGATACTTTTTGTCTTTTTCTTACAGACGCAGACATCACTGTGACGATGAGGTGACTTGGACGTGATGCCTCCGACGGAAATGCTCAAAGGGTGCTCGCTAGGGTCAAGGTCCGTCGGAACCTCCATACCCCTCATTTCCCCCACTATGCCGTTTGTGTACTGTTAAGACTTAGTTGGGCGCAGGTCAGCAGGAAAGGGTTAGTGGATTTACGCAAGACTTGACGGAAAGCATCTCCACGCATACTCTGGAGGGGAAATGATGTGTTCTGATGCTTACCCATGCGGCGGAAATCAGGATGAGTTCTCCTCCTATTCAATCTCGCATGAGACCGGAGTCACTCCCAAAAGATTTACAGTGCACCGATATCCAGGTATATCATGTTGAACACATGGGGAAGTGAATTCATTCTCAATTTGGTATAAGAGCCTAGATACCCTCGTTGCATAATGCTTTTCTTTTATCCTAGTACTCGGGGATCCTACTTGTTCACCTCCTCCAACAGCGTCTTGGCAGCCAGCTTGCCCAAGTTATTCGAAGCCAACGGCGAATCGCCAGTCAACAGCAGACGGTCGCGATGGCATTCACCGGAGATGGTCTTGTTGATCGGCGTAACCCCGAGCTTCTTGAGTCGCTCCCCAACCAGCCACTCCATCTTGCCAGGGATGTAACCAATGTCGATATTAGCACCCTGGTCCAGCGAGTCAGGGAAAACATCGATGCTATAGCCCTCATAAATAAACTTGGAACCCTCAGGCTTACCAACGTCTGCGGCGAGAATACTGGCAGGTCCGTGGCAAAGCGTAATAAAAAAGCGATCATTGGCATGAGCCCAGCGAAGAACATCGCCGACCGTCTTGCTGAAGGGTATGCCATTCAACACGCCGTGACCGCCAGGAATGAAGACTGCCAGGTAAGGAGTATCTTGACTAAATCCCTTGCCGTCTTGGCCACTCCAGACCTCAGAGAGGTTAAGCGGGCTGCGAAGCTTCTGCTTGTACTTATCGTAAATCGACTTGACAGCCTCATCCTCCTTGGGAAAAGCCCACATCTCGAGCTTGACAGGATCACCTGAGAGAGTAGCGACATCGATATCGAAGCCAGCAGCGTCGAGGTGATACATAGGCAGCAGCATCTCAACTGGGTGATTACCTGTAGAGAAGAACTTGCCGTCTGCCATCTTGAGATAGCGCTCCTGGGTGCCGATCATGAGAATCTTCCATTTGCCGCCTGTGTATTTGTTGGGATAGTCGGCGCCGTCAAAATCTGTTTTGGCGGTAACGTATTGTGTGAGGGAGAAGGGTGAGGGGAAGTAGGCGTCATCTTCCGCTGTGTCACGGACGGGAGTCTTGTCGTCTTGCTTGGACATTGTGATGAGTTGTATAGCTAAGCGCTTGAAGAATTGGGTTGAATAGGAATAAGATAGCTTGGAGGTGTAAGGTTAATTGTTGTTGCGAAACATTTCTGAACGGTTGGAAGTTGTCTTCTTATAGCTGTTGAAGCTCTACGTACGTGGCGGCCCCAAAGTGAGGAGCACTGCATATTGATGAACGATAAGGTTTGACTTAATGGTTAGCTACCTTGTTTAGTGCCTGGATGGGAGCTACGGAGAGATTACTATTGGCTAGACTTGCTTATCAACTCCGACGGAGATATGATTAGCGTTCCGACGGAACCAGGGATGTCAGACGGAGCTGTACACTAGCCAATCAACCATCTAGACTCTATGCTGTGTCTTGAATGCCCCGCAACAACGAGAAACCAAGCTCTTGACGGAACTTCCCTCATTACGTCTCATTACGTCAACATTCTTTGGCATATAAGGCACATGCAAGCCTCCTGATAAGCCATCCGAACTTGTTTTCACTGTCACTTGCCAAAGCTGACTACTGTACGAGATAATTCTTTAGAGATGCCTACTGATTACAAGTTTGAGGGATGGATGGGAGAGGACGAGAAGTCAGCGGAAGGGAATATGGTTTGGCAAGAATACGAGCCCAAGAAGTGGGAGGAGACTGACGTTGATATCCGCATCACCCACTGCGGTATATGCGGCTCCGATATTCACGTCCTCCGATCAGGCTGGGTAAGTCTAAACGAAGCTTATTGTTACACGAGACAGCACTGATGAATGACACAGCGTCAAGCCCCATACCCCGTCGTAGTAGGCCACGAAATCGTCGGTGTTGCTGTGCGCGTTGGAACTCAAGCTGAAGGCGGCATCAAAGTCGGCGACATCGTCGGTGTTGGTGCTCAATCCGATGCTTGTCTCAACCGCAAGTTGGGCGGTGATAGCAATGAACGGCCTAAGTGCAATGAGTGCGCGTCTGGAGAAGAGAATTACTGCACCCACATGGCTCCAACATACGGTTCAAAGTTTCTTTCTACTGGCGACAAAACGCAAGGCGGTTATGCACGCTATCATCGATGCCCTTCGCACTTCGTCATTCGCATCCCTGAGGGTGTCGCTCCACAATATGCGGCGCCGCTTCTCTGTGGTGGTGTCACTGTCTATTCGCCTCTGAAGCAATTCGGCGCTGGGCCAGGTAAGAAGGTCGGTATAGTTGGCGTTGGAGGGCTAGGGCATTTTGCCGTACTATTTGCTCGTGCGCTTGGGGCCGAGGCGGTTGTGGGTATCTCGCGCAGAGAGAGCAAGAGACAGGAAGCTATGGAGTTGGGATGTACAGATTATATAGCAACGGCTGATGAAGAGGGATGGGAGACTAAGAACTCTCGGAGGTTGGACCTTATCATCTCAACTGTATCGTCTCCTAAGGTATGTTATCCTTTGCATACAATCCAAATCGCCGCTAACAAGAGTTACTGCAGATGCCTCTCGCTGATTACATCGGCCTTCTGCGACTTGACGGCACTCTCGTCCAAGTTGGGCTTCCTGAAGGTCAACTCCCCTTCCGACCAGGTAGTCTCACTGGGGCGCGTCGAAGGATTGCAGGCTCAAGCATTGGATCGCCGGGTGAGATCAAGGAAATGCTGCAGCTGGTCGCAGACAAGAATCTCAAACCTTGGGTTGAGATGCGTCCTATGTCAGAGGCCAACCAGGCTATCGTTGACTTCGAGGCAGGAAAGCCTAGATTCCGCTATGTTTTAGTTAACCCGGATTCCTGAATGTGATATATCTTTTCGTCAGGCCGTACGCAAGATAGACTTTATCAATGCAAAATACAAATAGTTCGGCACAATTCACCATTCAGGTTACGCAATTAAAAGCTTTGCGCCAACTAGCACTGGATGCGCCCTGCTCAGCGTGTGCAGTAGAGAAGGGTTTGGTTGGGATCATACAGGTTTCTAAGCAGGATGTTGTACAAGTCTGATCATTTTGAGTTAACACCTTTAGCATCTACCTATTCCTTGTTGTCAATAATAAATGAATGACTGGTTTCAAATAAGATGTGCTGCTGTTGAAAAAGAAGGTGGTTTCAACTATGCCCGGAGTTAAGGTTGGTGATAATCTTATGTCCAGGACCGGGCAACCAGCAAAACTGACAACCGACGCCGATATGAGTATGTATAAAATTGCCAAGTTTTTTATTTATCCTCTGAAGCTTTCTACTCATTCAGTATCTAACTGTTTCTTACTATTTAGCACCACGATATCACAAACCCCCTCTTCATCATGTCCTCAACAACAGAAACACTGAACCGGTCTGCCGTACTGTCTCACCCAAAGGCTCACCTCATGGTCATCACCTCCTCGCCAATTCCTGTTCCAACTGGGAATGAGATACTCATTCGTGTACGCGCCGTTGCGATCAACCCAGCCGACCACGCTGTTCAAAAGCTCGGGATCGTCATCAAACCCGAGTTCTACCCCTACGTCAGCGGCACCGATGTGTCTGGAGAAGTCGTATCTGTTGGTCCTGATCAGACAAGATTTAGACCTGGCGACCGTGTAGTAGGCCATGCAATGGCATGGCAGAAAGGCGACAACAAGTATGGAGCTTTCCAAGAATACTCCATCATGGCTGAGCCTATGGTAGCCAAGATCCCAGATCGTATACCTTACACGGAAGCAGCAGTTCTCCCTATAGGACTAACAACATCGGCTGCTATGCTGTTCAGTCCGACTTTGATGGGCCTCGATCTACCCGTGGCTGGAACCGAGAAGAACTCCAAGGGGAAAGTCGTGGTAGTTTGGGGAGGTAGCTCAAGTGTTGGGTCGAATGCCATACAGACTGTGAAGGCAGCTGGATACATCGTTGCGGCTACTGCGAGCGAGCATAACCACGGTTTATTGAGAGAGATGAACGTGGATTATATCTTCGACTACAAGAAAGATGGTATTGCAGAAGAGATCATTAACACTTTGAGCGGTGTCGGCGATCTTGCAGGAGTTTACTGTGCTGTATACTCAGACACAGCTATCACGGCTTGTGCAACAATTGCAGACAGACTCCAAGGCAAGAAGTCTGTGGGAACTATACTTCCTCCTGGTCTACCAGTCCCTGGAACGATCCCAGACAGTATGCAGGTTCTGGTCAATGACCACGTTCTTCTGGGATCAACTGAGACTGGGAAGAGACTATGGGTTGATTGGCTTCCGGGAGCTCTCGAAGATGGGACATTCAAGTGTATGCCTCATCCTGAGATTGTTGGGAAAGGACTCGAGGAGATTCAAGGCGCCGTAGATATAATCGGCAAAGGCGTGAGTGGGAAGAAGCTAGTGGTCGAGCTTTAGGTTTTGCATAAGGCTGAGTGATACCGTCTAATTCCAAGATAAACGTCATTTTCTATAGTATACCAAAGGTCCCTCAAATTATTTTAACCGTGTATTAAGTGCCTCCTGAGGTTGGTCCTGCGTATATCAATTGTGTTGGGTAGCTGGCATACTGCCCGAACTGACTTTATAAGAGTGTTATTTTGAGTTGATAGTCCCTACAGCTGATGGCTCATATCACTGGCCTCACAAACACGCACATCCTAGCCTAGCTGACGCAAAGTAAATCCCCGCCAAGATATACACTACTTTAGCACTAAGGACAGGATTTGTATTGCTGTACTGTATAGAAGAACACGGAATCTGAAAGAAGTTCGGTATGTACGTAAGTGCTGATATCACGGCGCGCAACTCTGTCGTTTGTCCATCGCAGCCATAAACTTGAAGAATTTAGAGAACCCTTAGACCTTAGTCTTGACCCAAGCACCGGCCTCCTGAGAGAACACATTAAAGTAGGAAGTGTGGGCGCCTGGATCAGTACCCTGCGCGCAAACATTATCGCCTGCCAAACACCAGGATCGGATTTTGTTGGAATATCGGTTGAGTGAGGTCAGTTGAGCCCCATTCCGAGGGTTGATCTGTCAAAATCAATGTCAGCCTTTTTTCAGGCGTTGCTAGAACACATTAATCTACTTACGCCATTCCTTGAAGAACCAGTACCAGTGTTGTAGGCCTGGCTGGCAGTGTGGCGAGGATCGCCAAAAAACAGCACCGCAGTAACTACACAGATGAGATTGGTCAGTCAAGCTTGAACGACATAAGAATTAAGGAGAAGGATTTACTCTTGTTGCCAGGCGAAGTCGCAGGATTCAACGCAGAGTTGGACTGCTGGGTACATCCCAAGCTCTGCCCCCCACCGCCGCCAAGCATGTCGCCAAATAGCTGAGCGCCCTGCGAATAGCCGCTCAGGACTAGCTTAGAGTCAGGGCATCGATTTGCGTATGCCGTGATCTGCGACAGACCGCCGGTGATCCCAGCGTAGATTGAAGTGCAGTATGTGTTGAAATTAGCCGGGTAATTGATGTCCTCGTAGCCACAGCTAGTTAAGCCACTGCAAACGGCTGAGACAATGGAGCTTTGGCGGCCCGGGTAAGGCTCATCGGTGCCACGAGCTAGGAAGATGTGCACATTTTGACATGGGGCTTGGCGCTCCTCGAGGTCGACGGCTGGAGCGCCGACGGCCAAAGGAATGAGGAAAAGAGAGGCGAGGAAAGCTGTGTTCAACATTTTTATAGCTGGCGATGAATAGCCAAGTCGGTGAGGTAAAGTTGCAATGTAGCGCTGTTGTAGATGGAGTTGACTATGAACAACGCGGAGGTGGCTGGCTATTTATCTATCTTCAAAGACAGAAGGTGCGCTCTATCCGTATCTCTCATATCTTGCTAAACACGCCGCATCTCTTGGTATTGTTAGTTTGGTCCGAGGAGGCTACTCGTGATTCTTCATTGTGGTATTGAAGATTCTGAAATAGGGCATTGGCCGTGTTGGAGGGTATGATTCACAATGCTTATCCAATGGGTACAGGAGCGATAGCCTTGTTTCCTATGTCACCTACCTATCCAGGAACTAACCTAGAAGTACTACCAACATATCTGGACTCGTGCATTCCAACCGGGCCGACTGAACCCCAACATATAGTGATGGGCTGTGAAGTTGCATATAGCCCCGCAATGGATCATCACCGACGTTACTCTGGGGTAGAACCTCGGCATCGAAGCAATACTTGACTATCTTGATCTATTGTCAACAGAAAGGAACAAATTGCGGGGTAATGTATCATGTGCCTGATTAGGTGGTAAGCCAGGGTAGTAAGTTGTGATGAACGCTGCATCACGGTATCGATCTCGATCAGTCCATAACTTCCGCGGCATGCTACACTCGGCCTTCGGCGCCGAGACCGAGGAGAAACATGGCCTTTCTCGATATCAAACCGACAGGCCTGAATTTTACCAACTACGCCGAAGGGAAGCAAGGCCGCCGACTGCAGCCTCTCCATCCAGGACTCAATGTTACAGGAGATCTGAACCCTCGGCGCCGTCCCCGCGCTCTAGGGTTGTCATGTTGCTCCGACTGGAGCGCCTGCGCTCGTCACTTACATGTGTGTCAGCGCTTTGGAATCCGACGGCAGGTTGCTCGGTAAAGATGCTATGAGATGCTTCGGGTAGCGCGTAAGAAGACTAAGGGTCGATCACTTCCCTCTGTCAGAATTACTTAAAGTGGAAGGTAGTAAGGATAGCAACGTAGAAGTTTTAAGCCGGCTGGCAGAGCTCTACCTTGGGCTGGGTGTTGATAAAATAATGTCACTTTTTATTCCCTATGTCTATAGATTCAGTTCTGTTTAGGTTATATTCTATCTTCTAGTTCTATAAGGCGCTGTACAGAGCATGGAGTATGGATAGAAAGCTTATGGCCCACCTGGCTGAGTTACACTCTATTAATAAGGAAAATACATCTAGAACGGTGTACTGGCCTGTCAAAGAGACATTCCAAGCCACCTCAGGAAGTGTATAGTGGATTGGGTCATTGTATACGTCTTTTTAGCCCGTCCTTTCCACCCATTGCCGCCTTCCAGCAAACAACACAGTCCAAGACTCAGAGCCTGTTCTTATTATAGGAGAGTTCGGCCGCAGTCAACTTAGCTATTGTTTATCTTTGACTTCTTATATAGATGCTGATGACCTCGAAGTTCCTGACTCGTGATACCTCGCTGTTAGCTCACATCAGGATCAACAACCCAGCACTCTTGACCTGGACCTTCTTACATATATAAGGAAATATAGTAGACAATAAACTAATTTACTTATACCTAAAACCAGATCTGGCTCTATATACCTCTAGATTAAGAAAAATATTATTTTTATTATTATATTTATATAGAAG